GCCTTAAGGCCCGGATGGACTGTCTGGAAAAGATAATTTACTCCAAAATTGGGACTTCTAATTACTCCGTCAATTAATCGTTTTTTCCGATAATTGTTAGCTAGCATTCTAGCGGTTGTCAACAACTAGGCCGCTAGCTAACAGTTATCGGAAAAAACAATTAATTGACGGAGTAATTAGAAGTCCCAATTTTGGAGTAAATTATCTTTTCCAGACAGTCCATCCGGGCCTTAAGCATTTCTGAATAATTGCAGGTCAGCTTGCATATGTGACTCGCTGTATATAAATGATGTATATAAATGATAATATGGGAATATTATTTACAAATAAACTATTTACAAAAATACAGCAAAAATAAATAAAATGATGTACTTTAGATTTTTTATAGAATATTTGCTGAGAAGGTTGTTTAAATTGATAAAAAAAACTGTCTGTCAATTATAATTCCTAAATGATGTCAAAATGTTCTGCTGCAATAATTATTATTATATATTATATTGTTTATAATAATGCTTATTTCATTTGGGAGTGGGAGTGGAGTCCCTGAGAACTCAAAAATCATTACATGACTCCGATCATTCGATGGAACGCTAAAAATAATTCAACAATAAATTCACTAAACAATCAAATAATTTTTATTAACTGCGTGCAACACCAAATGCTCGTAGCATTATCTAAATTCTATATTTGAAGTAGAAAAATTCTGGAGTCAACACCAGAGCTCTTCCCTCAGTTTTCTCGACTCCTCGTCGTAATTCCGGAGCCAGAAGCTGTGAGTTCTATCTCCATCAGTTCCTGGAAGGGCATTGGCTGGAATTGAAGCGAATGGAGAAATTATTCAACCAGTGATTATTAAAATTGATTAGATGAGATTACCTGCTTTGAGATGGGGCTCTGCATCAACGTAGACACGTTCTGCCAGAGATTTATCCCCTGTACTGTCTTCCACGAATTTTTTTATAAAACTGAGGTCGAAGCTTCCATTTCGGTACTGTATCATCAAATTTTAAATGAATATTCGTCTATATTCCGAGTAAATAATTTATGCGCATTCCATTTTTCAATTATCACTGCAGACTTACGTATCCATAACCAGTGTACAAACATAATGAGAAATCCTTCAATTTCCCACCATCCGGTGTTGTGCTTCTGATTAATGCCTTATCCTCTATGAAATCCATTTGAATGTAAATAAAAAACAAGATTAAATTCAATACCTAGATGAAACAATTTCATAAATAAATCGAAAGAAATAAATCGACCGGAATGGCGTGAGAAATATATTTTTTCTCCGATTCTCCAGAGGAATAATTCCCATTTATTCCAAATTCAATTTCAAATACGAGAATTATTTTAAACAATAGGATTATTATTAACCAAATGGCTTTTAATGAATTTCAATTAAGACTATTATCATTTCCAATGATTCCAAATATTATTATGACTATTTTTATTATTTATGTTATTATCTATATTATTATTAATATTATTATTATTCGCGATTGTTTATACCTTCACTGAGAGATCGTGCACATCGATCGACGACATCCTTCAGGATGACAGGAGTTGGAACACAGCTATCACCCTAAAAACAAAGATATAAAAATGATATTGATATTTTTTATTGAAATTGGAGGGATGACTTACCAAGTGATGAACTAATCCCCAAAGGGCAAAAATAAATAGCTGTCGCATTTTAATAAATTAATAAGGTATTGGCACAAAATTTTGTTCAGTATTGTTCAGTTGTACGATTTATCGGTGTTTGTACACAATGTGGAGCTGTCCCGTATTTTATACCCAATTCCTATCTACAGACACATTTTTTTATTATTTCCACGGGAATGCCGGAATGACAAATGTAACTGCAAAACACGTGTGTATGAATAATGAAAAAAATTCATACCTAAGCCCTTTCACTTCTGATTCAACGGTGAAAATCCATCGATAATCAGATAATTGGATTGAGCTGAACCGCCCCCATGATTATTTATCATATCGGAGTGTAATAATTTGAGATCTCAGTTGCTCCGGAAATATCAGTTCTAAAGAGTTGCAAAATGGCTGAGAGTTCACAGGGTTAATCGAGAATCATCTGGAAAACTTTCCAATCTAACCGGCCTGATCTATTTCATTACAACATTTATCAGAAAATCACACGACTGCTCAAACAATTGCGTAAGTACATAAAAACTCCATTCAAAGGCAATTGCATGAAAATCCAAATTGAGTAAAGTAATTAATCGTTAATTACGACTCTAAGCTCAAACATTTGATGAAAGCCTGAAATTTTCCTGAAACTTCAAGACTGATTTCCTTTTTTTAAATTTCTAAATTTTTTAGTGTCACCCCTAAAAATTGACACGTTCGTTATAAATAATTTTCACGAAACCAATTTTCTCATGATAATTTTAATTTTCAAATGCTTTATTACCTCATGTATTTCCACATTTATTTACAGTATTTTTAAAATGATATATTATTGCACTTCTGTATTAATTTTCTCAGTCACACCAAAACTTATTAGCGACTTCTCTGATTTCTGGTCTATAGCTTGTGAGATAGAAAGCGTAAGCCCTCTCAGCCTCATCCCCTTGAAGTTCATTAGCTGTTGCAGATAAGAACAAATTAATAATCTGAATGAGCGAATTATTTAATGAAAATTACCTTTTACAATGTCCTGCTTGGTCCGCGCAATGACACGATCTGCTACGTCGGTTCTTCCCTTGCTCTGTGTGAGAAAATTAACGACAAAGTCTACGTTGAAGGCTCCATCCTGGAACTGAATTAGAAATTAATTATTACTATGCATTATAACGTTAGTATTGATTAATTAATTTGTTGAATTTACATATCCGATGCCCTTGTAAAAACACAGTGCGAACTCCTTCAATTTTCCACCGTCTGGTTGATCTGCACCGATCAATGCTATATCCGCTGTGGAATTAATCAAAAATTCATCACTGAATTATTTAATAAAAGATCCTCTTAATGTTAAGTTAACAAAATTGTCTACATGATTTGTGTCATTGGCAATCGCTTCTATGAAGCCCACATTAAATCCCATAAAATTGTTCATCGATTGGGTTTTAATTGTAAAACTTAAAATATCCTCCGAGGAATCCCAAGCGTTTTTTTAATAATAATTGAATAATAAATAAAAATTGTGGAGTCTTAAGATGAATTTTATTACCTTCGGTGAGAGACGATGCACACTCGTTGGCAACATCCACGAACTTCTGAGGGAATATAGCGCAATCTTCAGCAGAGCTAGGGGTCTGAAGAGAGATTGTGAGAAAGATGAGATAATTCTGAATGGGGGAATTAATAGTGGAGCTTACCAGGAGCAGAAGGAACCCGAAGACACCGACGAGAAGAGATCTCTCAGGAACTGGGAGGAAAAACCGTCCGGATTTCATGTTGGTCAGAATTTTTTTTATTTTCAATTCCAAGGGTCTAGTCACTCTGGAGACAATCCCCAGGTAATCCATATTTTATACTGACTTCTATCCTCGTAACTTCGATGCTTTTACAACTTTTTAACCAATGAAAAAGAGCCGCATGTTCACTTCCGCATTATTTTTCAACGAAAATAGGATTTTAGCAGCGAAACAGTAAAGAACAACTCGATTTTTTCAAGAACGAATTACCAATGGAAAACAATTGGATATATGCCTTTATAAATTCACTATATAAACTATTCGAGTGAACAATTGATCATGATTTCAATTTATAATTATAATTATATTTTAGCGAACAGTGGAACAACTGCGAGATAATCATTAATTGTTTTTATGTAAAAATTCGGCTGTTGAGGATTTTTCATACAAATTTCATTGGATTATGAATTCAATACAAGAATATTCAAATCGTCAAATCGTCAAGTAAAAAAGAGTGAGTTGGACAATTTTTCTTCATCTTTTTTATGAATAAATATAATGAATGGTGAAAGAAGAATTAAGTGTTCAAATAAATTTGCGAGAAGTAATTGCGTAAAATCTTTGCAGAATTTCCATTAAATTTCCACATAATTTTCATGTCTGAAATAAATGAACTTGGCACTGAAAAATTCAAGTCGCAATAACTTTCGTACATTATTTCCCTCCGCGAATAATAACGGATAAGAAACTGCACTTCCTCACATGCTCTGGAATTTTTCCCTACGATTTTATGATTTTTACATGCAAAAAAATTATGAGTCATTTAAAATTTGAGATAATGACGTCGAAACACCTAACAGAAAGAAATATTTTATTGTGATGCACAGGCAACAACAATTTCTAAAATATATATAATATAATAATAGATGTGATTTGGATTTTAATTATTCCATGTAGAGGAGTCGAGTAATTGAATTATTATTCCTTCAGACTTGATTTCAGAATTTCCGTGAACAATTTATTCCCAGGTGAATTTTTTGTTTCGTATCCTGGGATTTCATTTTCACAAGTCTTCAACCAGCGTACGACATCTGGATATGAAGAGATCGGGACAAGAGCCTGAAACATTCGTCGATAATAATACGCCATAATTAAAGTGCTTTATGATTTTGTGAAGTTTAAAACATGAATAAAAATGCATATGTCTAAAAAATATCAGATGGACTCTATTTTCCTTTTAAAAAACCCGAAAATCACATCACAAGTCAGACATTCTCGTTTATAGAATAAGCCTGGACTACTAGTATTATTTTTAATAATTTTTAATGATTAATCATTTACGAAAATTAAACTACTTACATCTAAACTGCTCAACGTAGAAACACAACTGATATCCGCAAGTGTGAAGGACTCGCCGGCTAGCCATTTTTTTTTATTCAGAAATTTATTCATGAATTCATAAGCCTCTAGCACAAGTTTTCTTTTTTCCTCAGGAACTGAAGTTACACCATCTCGCAGTATTGGTTTCTATAATAAAATTAAAAAAATTATCAGTCCCACAATTCTGATACTTAGCACTAGGATTTTTAATGAGCTCTCTCTCAGGCAATAACTCACAGCTATTCCTCTCAAAAGTGCGAATAGTATTCCACTGTCGAAGTGCAGGCGTTGATCAACGATTGCTCTCTTCTTCAGGTCCTTGGGGTAAAGGGCATCATTTTTTCCATATTTTCCCGTCAAGTAGCAGATAATTGCATGGCTGTAATAATAAACAAAGTACAGCAACAATAAACCGTAGGATAATTTTGAAAAATTACTTGTTGCCCCGTAAAATTCAGAGTGTCAACTCCGACTCAAAAATTCGGAGTAGAAAAAAGATAGGATAAAAAAAGGAGTAGAGAGATGAAAGAAGAGCATCAATCAGTTCTAAAAAATTATAGAATCAATGCCCATCATCTCTCAAATTATAAAATAATGATTATGCAGTTTTTCCATCCTCTTGTAGAAATTTTTCTTCGGATTTCAGTTGTTATTTAATTTATTATTGCTGAATTATTGTGAAATTATACCTGTCCCAAATAATATCCCCGTTGTCATCCAATGTTGGTACAGTATGTTGTGGGTTGATCTGGATGAAAAGGAAAAATTAGATTACAATTTTCATTTGCATGCTTACATAGTAATAATTGTTTTACTTTCTTGAAGGGTTCATTGAATTGCTCTCTCGCGTCCAAATTGATCTCTCTTATCTCTAACTTCAAACCAATAGCTTCAGCTGTGAGAAGGACAGCGCGACAAGGTGGGCTGATATGAGTTGAATACAAAATTGGACGTGACATCGTTATCAAGTGATGATGATGTGCAGAATGTGAAATCGAAATCTAGCTGGATGAATTTTGTCACGAAGATTGTTTATCTAAAAAAATCCAAGTTATTATGACGAATTTTCAAATTTTCTCTTATATACGTGTCCAGTAAAAAAAACCGAAAAGATCAAGAACATAATTTTGAAAACCGTTTATTAGTTAAATTGATCAATAAATAGTCGACCAAATTTCTGATGATATCTGATTCTCGAAAAGAAGAACACGAAAATGGCCGACATGCGGAGGAAAATTTACTTCATGAATTCTCAGCTAAAGATAAAATAATAGATATGTATGTTAAACGGTTTAAAATCTTCGTTCATTTTATAAGATCAGAATGAGCCATCATCAGGCTGATCTGAAGAGGATAAATCATTTTAATAATCATTCAAAGATGCGAGGTGGAGACACCGCCATTCGGGAAGAGGTCGATTTAAACAAGATGGCGAATAATTCTTCAGAGGTTTCGTCTTCGTCGAAAATAATCCATTAAAAAAATTCTTTTCGATTCGATTACTTTGTTTGAGAATTCTTGAATATTTCCCCGCTTGTTTCAATCGTTAAAAACTGTAAATAGTATTTTTCACGCCTAGGACGGAGAAAGGGAATCTGACGAATGCGACTTTATAGTCCGAGCCGGAGAGAAGGATTATAACGCGCATGAGTCAGAATCACTTTTTTCGCCGTGGCTATGATGCTATTTTATGTCATTGTGGCCGAAAACGCGTTTTTATCTGAGCGGAGCGAGGCTAGACACGCGTTTTACCGGCCGCTATGACATAAAAGTGTAAAACTATCCCTTTAATAGTTAAAAAATGAATATTTTCCGTCTCACGTTTGAATCTCTCTGATGTATAAAACCAACTGTTGAGACTGGCGTAAACTTTCACCGGAGGTGATCAGTTTTACGAAAATATAGTCAGTATCTTTATGATACGCCGGCGCAGTGAATTTTCTGAGAAGAACCTATAAATAGTAACGTGCCAAGTAGAAGAGAGAGTTGTTATCATTTAACACATTCTTGCGCTTTGCTTATAGTGCATACAATTCGATTCGCTGATAAATACATAAAGTCTCAACCCTGACTGGCTACCGATAAGATTAAAATATTTTCATTCGCTTCATTTTCTCAATTAATTAATTACGCCTCTAGAATTTTAACTTGAGATTGAGGAAAATGAGGATTTTTTATTTTTTTTCAATTTTGGCAATTCACCAGATTCATACATCATCATCCACATCATTTATTTTCAAATAATAATCAAATTTCCTTTTTCGGACGAATTCCATCAGCGATTTACTATTCTCTAAAAATGCTGTAGTTTCTGTTTCTATTGTCTGCAAAAAATCATTAAAAACTTTATTATTTTTTCACGTAGAAGCAATAAAAATGACGTAACCAGTACCAGGAAAAAGCAAAAATAGTTGAAAATCCAAATGAAAATGTTAGAAAAAAATTCGAAATCATTGGGTCATGCAAAAAAAGAATTAAAACGAATGATCTTTCCTCATAAAGAATAAAAAAAAAGTATTTTCATTTATTCAGAAATTTCCATCGGTACATAATTTACATAAGTATCATAAGACTGTTCACAGCTATAATACGATACAAATAATCTCGACTGCAGTTCATTGAGATTTCTAGAGAAAACGGCATCAGGGGCTCTCGCAGACGACACCATATCACCACTCCAAGCTAGACTAAACTCACACTCTAAAAAATCGATGATTGATCGAGTGTCATTACGTGAAAAATCAAGATTAAACTTTCCACTCAAAATCATTGGAAGCGTCGACACATCTCCACCTCCATCGTCACCCCCTTCCAAAGAACCCAGAGTCCGATGGAGAAATCTGCTGACCCCATCAGCCGTCTGACCCGGGGTGATATACACCAGAGCATTAAGAATGGTCTGACCGTTATCCAGGATACATTCAGTTATGCAGATCTCGCCAACCTCGGAGGAATTAACACTCAAAGCTCTCACACGAAGTAAAGAGATGTCCATATATCCAGTGACAACAGAGACTCCATCCACCCTCTGCGAGACAAATGCCCTAGGGTCTCCCTCCAAAGGATCCTTAAACCTCACGACGCAATCGAAATTCGGAATATCGAGTTTCTCTTTCATTTCTTTATCATTCAACGTCTTTTCCCCCAAAAGGAAAATTGCTGTGCGTTGCACAATTCCATTCACACCTAAACAATTTCTTTGCTTCAAGCTCCTACAGTCGACTTTTAATCTCCACTTCCACAGGAACTCCAGAAGGGGTTGATGCATCATTACAGCACGATCCAGAGAAATCCCTCGAAAGCTGCGAGAGCTGACAGAATTGCCAATTTCATAGCGAAATGGATTCACCTCGTCAGTCGCGATAACATAAACTCTGTTAATACCCACAGCACGAGACAACATCGAATACAGAATGTGTCGTGAGTGCATATCGTTGTATTGATAGACGACGAAGTAGTCGTCTTCAGGGAAGAGTCTGAATGCGAGAGGGCTGAAACGTTCAGCTTCTTCTCGTGTGAAGACTCTAGACTCAAGAAAATCTAATTCAATCTGATTTAAACCTGCACCACAGTCGACTTTCATTACTGCTGAGAAGAAGATGCTGTTAGCTTTTTGGAAAACCTTGTGCAGCTCGTAAAACCTCAGTCCACTGTAGAGGCTACTTCCAGGTTTTCGTTTGTCCTGGTCAGTGGATCCCGTTGGTAACTGCCACAAATCACCAACCAGGACAACATCCATTCCTCCAAAAGCCTTCTCGAAGTTCCCAGTAGCTTCCTTCATCCTCGCCTCGATCTGCGCAAGGAGTTCCAGGCAGACGATGCTCACTTCGTCGATAACGATAACTTGAACAAATTGGAAAAGTGTGCGATATTGCTGTGCTACTTGGTCTGACAATGATAGGATCGTAGGGAGGGATATCTTCAGGGCCAGGTGAACAGCCTTTGTGTCATTGATCGTAGCTGTGGGCTTTCCTGTTGACACACAGGTTGAGTAGACGTTGCAGTGCCCTGAGGCATTTTTATAACGATTGTAGATCTCTATGAGAAGACGCAGAACGAAAGTTCTTCCTGACTTCACTGAGCACGTGAAGAATATCTCGAAGGGCGTGCGATTACCTGACATCAGGCTGCACACCACTTGCATCAGCAGAATTTTCTGGTAGTCGTTGGCCAATTCCATGAGCTCGTGAAACTGCAAATTTTGACAGAGGGTCTCGGGTGTCTCGATGATGGTGTGAGATTTGTCGATGGTCAGTCGTTTCAGGGGATTTTCCGAGGAAGTTTTCATGCCGTTATTATTATCTTCGGAGAACAATGGAGTTGGCAAAGATTGCTCTGCTATCAATCTTCGTAGCTCGTCTTTGTTGTCCTCGAACGTTATTTCGGAAGAAATACATGGGAATGAATCTGGAAACTCTTCTTTGTGATAATCCATCTCAGGGGAATCAGGAGAAATAGAATTCATTCGTCGATTTAATGATGATTCACTGGGAATTGATAATTCATTATCACTATACTCCATTGCTACAACCGTATGAAGGATTCCATTTGCTATTTCGTTTGATATTTCTTCGGGCTTCTGGAGGATGAAATTCCTGCAGTTGAGGTTGTCGGAGGGCATTAATTGGTCGTCAGTATCGATGTCTTGGGTGTTGTGCGATGATACTTGGAGATCATCAGATGGAAATCCTGTGGCTATCAATTTCCTCACCCCGTCCTTGTTATCTTCGATGAACAGTGGATTTACCAAGGATTGTTCAGCGATGAGCTTTTGAACTTCTTCTTTGTTGTCCTCAGAGGATATTTCAGGCGAATATAATTCCCACGAGGCTTCATCACTAATCTCCTCGAACTTTTGAATATGATCTTTACTATCTTCAAAAGACATTTCACTAGGAACAGATGTGAATGGATCTGAATGCACATTCAATTGATCGTCTATCCCTGGGTCTTCGGGAGAAATTAACTCTGATGGAATCACAGTGACTGAATTAACTCTTCGACTCGATGATTGTCTGCAGGTCGAGCACACGATGTTGTCCTTACGTTTCTGCCTTTGCAAAAGAGAACGAAGGAGTCGTCCCTGGGTATCTCCATTATCCTCATCATTGTGAAACCACAATCTTCCGCAGTAGAAGCACTTGGGACTGGAGATTTTGCATTTTGCATTTTTTTTCAGGCGTTTTTCTGAGCCTTTCGAGGTACTAGAGCTGTCTTGATATTTCTACGCGATAATTTCGTTGAATTTCTCGTTGATGGTCCTGGTGACTCCTCGTCCATCGGTTCCTGCTTCATTTCTCGATTTTCAGGTATGAAAATACAGTTCATTTCGATCGCTTTTTTCATCTCCCGTCTGGCCCTGTGACTCCGTGATCGCTCTGTTGAAGTCAGTGGCTTTTTCTTTGCATTCGCAGGCTTTCTAGCTCTTACCCTGGCTCGATACTCTCTAGCTCTTTGTGTGGATGACTTCGCCATTTTCATGAGAGCTGAACAATTATAATAAACACTGAATTAATCAAAACAATCTTTTGTTTAATTACCGTGCATTATGAGGATTAAAAAATTCGTTCTGGCAATTATTCAGTTGCCATCGATTTCTGATCATTAAAATTTTGAATTGTAGCCAACTGTACATTAATTCTCCGTAGTTCAGGAAAATCCTTCCTGTTGTGAGATCCAAATAGTTAAATAAATATTGCAATCCATTTCATATTGTCAGACATCAAACAATCCATAACAATTGAATCATCACCCAATTAAATTCCAAAGCACAATTCAGACTGTTTCAATCTCTCAAACTTCGTCTCAATTTCGATAAAACCTCGCAGTAAACACAATTGCACAAATGTCCCCGTCGATGTCCATTGTTTGTTGTTTTGTTTTCAAAGACACAAATTATCTCCCAAGTCCTTAAAATTGTCCTTTCTAAATCCATCAATTCAGGACAATTTCTGTTAAAGACTTTCAGTCATAATTTATCGAGTCTCGTTAGTCTCGAATTACTCTTACATATTAACCACTAAAGAGGTGTCCCTTCGAATCGCTCGTGATTATCCGAATCAATTAAACAACGAACAGGTGTCTTTTACGAAAATGTAAACAATAACAACCCGACGCCATGACACATAAATCTGGATTACCGATTGAGTAACAAAAAAGCTTCACGAGATGTCACACGTCGCCCTTTCCCTCAATAAAAGAGTAAGAGACAAAAAAAACAAAAAAAAAATGGACAATTCTTCCTCCGATTCTTCTCGGTAACACTTCTATAATTCGTGATTGATATAAATTAATTTTTAATAGTTGATTTGGGGTAGTGAGTGTAGTTAGATAATAAATAAAAAGTGAATAAAAGGGACAATAGTATATAGAGAAGATAAACGCTAGAATGAATTCCCAGACCTCTCGATGACAAATCCACACAAATTCACATGTGCAAACAATGGAGTGACAAAAGCCCAATAAACAATTGAGCAATGTCAAGATGACTGAGGATAAACATGAGAGACATTGTTTCTGTTGATCATTGTGTCGTGGATAATTGGAGTCTTCAATGTTGCCCTAATAATATCGACGAATTTTGAAACATTATGATTGATTGGTGGTGATTCAACGAATTTTTTCTGATGGTATCGGTTTAATGAGTGACCTTTATTGACTCCATCTTACTTCATGGAGATAACAACAGATGAAATGATACGATCATTGCGAAAAAAACAGTCTTGATTGTCAATTGGTTGTGATGCACTGGATATGTCGCATTTGGTGAGTGTGTCTTTCATAATGTTAGCCCTCAACAAGTGACAATGTGCCAATTGTTACTTTAAATTGAGTCAATTTATTTGCCCTGAGTTATTCTTTCTTCTTTTAGTCTTATAAACTCCGTCGTGTCCAGCAGTTCTGGTTTTGTTTTCATTGTGACACATTGGGGAGAAAGTTTTTTAGTTATTAAAGCGGGAGTATCTTGCGTTAATTATTTATTTTTAATTTAACTAATTGTTTTACTGAATTGATGTTTCAAGATGCAGAAAGGATGGGTTGCGTCAACAGTCGGGCTGACATCAATGATCTCCATCCAAATATATTTCAAGTGATGAATGTCGATGACTTAGGGAATTTAATAACTCCCGGTAGATTAGAAGTTACGGAATCTGATATTGTACTTTATCAACGAGGCAGACAGGCTGTCAAGTGGCCCTTGAGATGCCTCAGACGATATGGATATGATTCCGAGATATTTACTTTTGAATCTGGCAGGAGGTGCTCCACTGGGCCTGGTATATATGCATTTAAATGTCGAAGGGCTGATCAACTGTTTAATCTCGTGCAAACCAATATTCAGGTAAAATTCTCATAAGATCAATATTACAAATCAATTGCAAAATTACTCAATTTTTCCCTTTAAATACTCCCAAATGAAAAAACTAGAATAAAAATTAATTGAAACCGATAAATAATCATTTGAAAATTTTCAGGATTGCAACAACAGCGGAGAGGACGCAATATCCCGTGACTTATCGATGCCCTTGCATACCGGTCCAACGATAACCCGAATGACAATACCAAGCGAGGGAAATTACCTCGACCCAACGCCAATTCGTCCAAGCTCACGAATAAGCATGGCAACCCGTTTTCCCCATAGCCAGCAAAATGGTTTCGGTCGGCTTGGAAGTGTTGGCAGCAGCAGTGGTCCAATATCCCCACAGGGTACAATGGGCTCCCCCTCCCCACCCCCATTGTCACCAATGACACTGCCACCACCTCCTCCACCCCCAACAACAACCACCACCCAGTCCCTGAAGCCCTCATTATCCCATCCCCCAAGCCAATCAGCCCTGTACGTTAACGAAGAGATGTTATCAGCAATCACCATGGAACTCGAGCACAATAACAACAAGAGCCTAAGAAGAACAATGCAAAGATCTTATACAATGAGCAGTACCACCTCCAGCAGTGGATTGATATCAGAATCAATTGGCATAACAAGTCAATCCACCCAGGAGTATCACAATCGACCTCCACCACTTCCCAACGTATCATCCTACATGAATATCGATATAAGCAGCGATGCAAGTCCACTGTCACCGTCCCACAGTATTTCTATATCAACACCATTGAAAGAGGACACTTCTGAGACAGAGACTGGTAATGTCGGTCATGCCTACATGAACATCAGTCCAGGTATCGATAATGTCAGTGACACTCTTCACATCAACAGATCTAGACCCACTCTCACAGCATTGTCAACACCCACTCATTTACCACCTCAACAATCTGATAATTATCCCTGGGATGATCGTGATAACTCTCGTCACTGCTACGAAAATCTCGAGCCTGGGGAGATCGATGGACTGCGAATGAAGGTATCGGTTAATTCTGATAAGTCGTCGTTACCACCGACAACTCCTCCTGGGGAGATCATCAAGGAAGTTAATTATGCCGTCCTGGATCTCGATAAGAATAATGTCTCTGTCATGGTGACTGGGGAGAACGCTGGCTCGATCATTCTCCCTTCACCACCGGAGTCCCCGAGTAAAATGGGTAAGGGGTATGCCACTATTGATTTTAATAAGACAGCTGCTCTGTCCCATTCTGTTAATCCTAATGGGGTTAATGATAATGAGGGATCGAGAAAGACGAGGCATAATTCGACGATCAATGATCTTGCTGCACCGAGACAGAGTTCATCCATCAGTGAGTGAGATTTTTTTGCTTTCCTGGAGTTTGGAGGTGAGTGGATCTCAAGTTAGTTGTCAAAGAGTCAAATGGTCAAGAGTCACAGTTAATTCAGATAACACACTATTATTTCTAGATCATCTCTAAATATTTCTGAGTCTAAGGAAGATTACTAATTTTTGTTACGGATCTTTTTATTGCTCTCGTTTTACTCTGCAGAAGAAATCTTAAGAATAATTTTGGTATGTCTTTTAGATCCAGAGATATTTCTCGATAATTACTAAGGAACAAGTCGACTTGTTATCCTTTACCTGATTACTACTGAATTTATTTGTTTCTCGAGGGGTAAAATTAATGGTAATTGTTGGATCGTGTTGAGGGGAATTTAATGGTGGATTTATTGATGGATCCTGCATTTAGGGTGATGGGATGATGCATGTGCCTGTAGTACTGCGGTACAATTCAATGTTCTCTCGTATTGTCTGGGACAATTTTGAGGGAGATTAATGTAAAGTACATTTTGGATGAGATTTTATACTACGAGGCCTATCTGTGTAGAATTTATTGTGAGCCAGGAGAGCTGGCTTGGCATCATTAGTAGCTTTTAGTGTTGATTGTATTGGGTATTTTGTGATGAGTGGCGAAGCTCTTGAGGTACTCCCAATACCTCTGGCATCACGCATCTAAAGGATTAAAATTGTGTATACATGTTGCAATGACTATTGATGAAAATTATTAACGACAAAGCTAAATGTAGATCATAGGTAACTGCGTATGAGCTTTAATGTACAACTGATATCACGTACCTAATTAAGAGAACTTGCCAAACTTTCGGAGAAGTTTGAAACTGATACTTGATCGACAAATGCCAAAGAACGATCGAGACGTGAAATATTTCGTACTGGAATTAATAAATTTTGCAGCGATATAAAATATCATGTAGTATTATATCGTCAATGGAAAGTATATGGTGAAAATTGTCTTGTCACTTTATCGTTTTTGTTGTTTTATTTCGATCAGTTGATAGATCTCTCGTGAAAACTGAAACATAGAAATCAATTCTTACAAATCTGAAGGTCCATCAATTTTTTACGTTGAGGGGGAGATTATCTTGAATTACGCAGATGATTGCTCAGTAACTGGGCTGTCATGCCTGGAGAACGAAGTTAACGAATTCGTAAAGTAAATTGTAACGATGCATCGATGAAAAATACCCTCACCAATATTCACAAAATGTACGTTTTTTGGAAAATATTTTGAGAAGCCATTATGCAGCTAGAAGCACAAGAATAAAAATACTCATTAATCATTAAGATGAAGAATAGTGCGAATTTGGAAGGACAGGGGACCTATTCTAAGTGAACAAAATAGTTTTTTCATCTTTATTAAACAGAAGATTGTTTAAATAAAGAAAAATAATTCAAACTTTGATTTTTTTTGGATTATAAATGAAAAGATAAGAATTTCCATCGGAAGAATAACTAAAAAATAAATTGACTTTTATATTTTTTCGGGGAAAATTTCGCGTGGAAAAATGGATGAAGATATTAAAAATATTCGATGTTTTTTTTAATACAAATATTTTTTTAAAATGTCGATATAGTAACAATCAGATGAGGTTTCAACACTTGGAAAAAATTCTGAATGAATTCATTTAATCCCATCAATTTCTTTGAATAGATCCCATGGACTCTCGAGCGTCACAACCATGACAGTATTAATGTCACAGAAAATTCATAAATACTAGTCTATCTGCCTTATAAATAGTGGAGTCGAAGAGAGTACGATGGCTCAATAATTTGGAAGAAAGAAATCACTATCATTTATTTTTCATTACTAGATGTTAAGAATATTTGGATAGATAAATATTGTACAGGAGCAGTCGATAAATTCTTCGCTAGACAGAAAAAAGTAAAACATTAGAGACGATGGATATGAAAGCAATTGGCGAAATGTCACGACGTCGCAGTGAGGAGAGAATTTAAAAAATTTGTAAATATTTGTGTTATGCAACAGTGTATTTTGTATTGGGCAAAAAAAAAATATATAATAATCTGCGCAATAATGCAGTTACTGTATCCAATGGCTGTGAAACGTCATTTGCCACGAATGTTGAGCTCCGGTGAGAACGAAATATTTATGAGAATAATGAGAGAGAAGGAGTGCAAAGATGTAATTAATTTAAAGTGACCTAAAATATTGCATCGCGGAATTTAGGAGTAACGAGAAATTGTAATAAAATTACGTGCACGTGAAATAAAATCAGTTAACATAGAAATGATTATTAAATGATCATTAAATGGTCATTAAATGATTATTGAATGATTATTAAATGATTATTAAATGATTATTAAATAATTATTAAATGATTGTTGAATGATTATTAGGACACAATGTAGGAGAGAAATGCGGAAAGAATTTTATTTTTCTATGAGGAATGAAGCTTCCTATCGAACAGACAAAAAATCACAAGTTATCATGCAGATAATTGATTCATAATCACGGGAATGCTATCGATCGCATGCAGCTACGTAAATAGAAGAATAGAGGAGAATAGGAACTAATAATATCGAGTGAAACACAATATGCAATGATTGTATGTGCTCTTTACTGTCGTTATGCAGACGTTATTCATAGAGGATGCCAAGTTGTATTTTAATAATGTGGAGATTGCGCTGGATTAATTGAAGAGGGCAACTAAACTTGTAATACGATATAGTGTAATATTATTTTATACATGATTAACTGTACATAAGTCACCAAAGAAAACCGAGACACTATCATTTTGGTTTGTGCCTCAGTTCGAAGTCGTACGTATATCAAATATATGGAAATGTTATCTCAATGGTTTTCCTCTTTTCTTATTGAAAAAATCGCAGTGATGTGTATTGGTTCAAAGAAGATATCTTTTTTGATGTTTCATGATTCAATCATAAAATTTTATTCATTCAACTTTTACAAAAATGACATAATTATTATTCAGATAGAACAATTCGAAATTAATAATTAATAATTCATTTGAGAACTGTACAAATTTAATCAAACAATAACATTCATAGCAACATTTGGAATACGATTAACAAGAGAAAATATAGCCAAAGTTATCCTGACATCCTTGGATATCCTGAAATCTCGAGCTCTTGTTCTTTTTAACTGAATTATTCTGAACATGAAAAAAAATCGGAAACTACAAGTAAGATATCAGAGACAATTCCTGATCCATTGAGAGAAGAAATTTTATTCGACTTTCACACTGAGAGAAAATCAGAGAAAACTACTTGATTTCCAAAAAAGACATGATCCTGTCATTCACTAATTTCCTCTTCAATTCTAAAAATAAAAGTTCATGCAATTCACCAAATTTGCAACCTGGGGATTATTCTCTCAGTGTAGAACCAGTGATCAGAAATATTCTCCTGATGTGAAACTTTCTTCTCGCACATGTGGATCATCGATAGCGATATCTGGAGACACTGATATGTATCGATATCAAAATATTCATCCATCGTACGATTGAAGAGCCTCTCAGGTGTGATTCTCACTCCTTCTGGTTCTCTCCTGATCGATAATAACCGATATATCGAGGTGACGATGGTGTATAGATCCATCGATACACGTGAGATCAGCTCCAGAATCGATGAGTACTCTAACAGTATCGATAAATCCACTTTCGGCAGCCACCTGGAGTGCTGTAAGGCCCTCGTCATTTGTCACCTCCAGCTGGACAAGACTCGATGTCATCAGCAAGGAGACCACCTGGTGGAAACCCCTAGCTGCTGCCAGGTGAACTGGTGTATTGCCACCTGCGTCCTGAGTTCTCGGGTTTTCGTTTAGCTTTAATAATTTCTCCACTGTCTCTGGATAATTTTTTCTCGAGGCAATGTGCAGAGGAGTTTCTCCGTATCGAGACGTCAAACCAGTTGGTGTGTGAGGTATCAAGAGATCCGCTGTATTCAAGGCACCAAATTCGAGGGCCTCGTGCAGAGGAGTCTCTCCACGGTCGTTTTTTAGTAACGGGTCACCCCCTGCCGAGAGCAGGACTTGAATCACAGACGCAATTTCGGGTCTACAGTTATCTGTGAATAAATCATTACTCGGGGTCAAAGTAATTTTTACGGTGTATATTCATTTTATTTATTTTATCATCAATAATCAGTAACACTGAATACCAATTCCTAATTATTACTCATAATTATTACTGAGATTTATTGATGAGTCCATAAAGATTGTGGTTTTTTTAATTAAAAAATAATTGGAGATTATTTAAAAAAATCATTGATTATGATTTGATTAGGATTGATGAATTGAAAAGAATTCGATGAAAATTAGGGAATATTTATTTTTCTTTGGTATTTTTGTCTTACCAAAGGTTACTGAAGATGCTAATATGTGCAGAGCATTTCTCCCCTGGTGATCTTTTTCGTTGACGGCCCCAGCCTTTGCCAAAAGGCTGAGGGTCTCGAGGGCCTCTTGAAACTCCACTTGAGGGACTCTCGATGAATACGCGTGTGCCAATTGACGGGTCAACATGTGGAGGGCTGTCAATCCACCCCCGGCCTCTTTGACACCCGGTGAACAGCCGTGTTTCAGTAGCTCCTCCACGAATTTACGAGCCTTGAATGGACCACGATTTATTATCGCACGGTGAAGTGCTGTCTCACCTCTTGGGGAACGGGCACCCGGATTGCAGCCCTTTGCGAGTAAAACTCTTCAAATGGAAAAATAATCGTTATAAATTCACTTTATGTTAATTCACAAGATTTAATAGCGGATTAGAATAATCAATTGAAATAATTTCGAAATAATCAACTGGAGTTATACATTTTTTTTATAAATGATTATAATAATATTATTCAAGGTCTCCGAAATATCTTTGTCTTCAGCTAAAAATCGGTTTCTGATAACGTTTTGAATACCGATACATCAAATAATCAAATTCAATTAAATAAATTCCTTCAAACCAAACAATTCCTGAGGCACTTACGAAATAATCAATTCGTAATCAACAAATTCGATCATTCAAAAACATTCTTTATTTTGATTACTGCATATCGAAAAGAAAACAAAATTCACAACTACCGCTTCGACAAGAAATCCTCTTCAAGAAAACAAGCACGCACGTTTTTCGGCATATTAACTAATGAATACAACAATAATTATTAAAAATTCATGACATAATTAAATATTCCCGCGCAATTCAATCAAAAATCATGAAAATTCAGATTTTCTCAAAAAAAAAATTGGTCTACATCTCATGAGTAAAAACAAAAATGCAAATAAATTAAATAAATTAATGTAAACAGCAATTAAATAGTATTTGCTTCGAATAAACAATTAATTACGAATGAAGTGTCAATTAAGATAAAAATTCCATTAAAAATTGATAATTTCGATTATTCCATCCGCCCAACAATTAAATCATCAATTAAAACCAATAAAACACCGAAAATAAAACCCATGAGGATGTCCCCGAGACATGTTGGTGACTGAAATTGACGAGCCAATAAGAAAGCGACATAAATAATCCATCAATTACCTCAAAACCTCGTAACAATGATTGGTAGCAGCCACAAGTAGCGGTGGATCCCCCGAAACATTCCAATTGGGCTCATCAACATCAACAATAGCCCCTTCCCCCAGGAGTTCATCAACTTTTTCACTATCGCCAATTCTCACAGCCTCATAAAACCTCGCAGAGTCATCAGCTTCCCAGCCCTCATCAACGCTCCCACCCTCAGCACCAACACCATCACTAGCACATAAACCTGAAAACCTCCCCAGCCCCCCCAGCCCCCCACACTTGATATCCCCCTCATTTCCCGGTGAATTGTAACCAGATGACTCGTTCAACTCATTTGACTCGTCACTCCCTAAACTCGCTGATGAAGCAGCACTCGCTGTTTCATAGTTGCATTCACTCTCATCCCACGTGGAAACCCTTTTTCCATTTTTACCCCTATTCACCACCCCCTTCACCTCAAAATCCCCCAAATTCACCAGACCAGCCTCATCCGGACCCCCAATCACTCTCGTATCACTCGTGACACTAATTCCACTCATAATGAACAAACTTCTTCAACTTCTTCAACTTCTTCCACTCCTTCAAATTAATCTCCAAATAAAACTAATAATTAACAATTACCCAATTAATTGAACCGAGATAATTAATTTCAGGAATAATTTCAGGGATGATTACAGGGATAATGGATAATCTAATGGAGTTACGAATTTTAAAAGAATTTCTTTCTCAGCGAAATTTTTTAATGTTCGAAATGATTTTGATACGCCGTAATGTACGCACTGCAGAATGCCTCAGGGAGAAATGAAAATGAAGTTCAGGGGAGCAACTAATGTGGTTCCCACACGAAACAATTTGTCACACGTGCACAAAATGAAAACAGAGACTGCCAGTGATATGACACCGAGACTCGAGGTTGTTACGTATATAGAGCAACAGGTGTACGTGATTCAAGTGATAAAAATGCTTTAGTAACTAGTTGGTACACTTGTAAATCGAAAAGCCGCTCCACGGTGTGTGCACAGCTCTCTGATGCCCAGACTCTTTCAGTTCTCACTCCGCACATTTTTATCCCCTCTCCAGTTTGAGTTGTCCACCACCGAAGAGACAGAAAAGACGAAAAAGCCATGCAGAAGAGGCAGTGGCGTCGACTGCACTCGTTTATCCAGAAAATTTCAGGGGAGAAATTGCTGATCAATTTATGGCTGCGGTGGTGCTGTTTTTCTTTTCTATTCCTGGACATTCTGTTTCTCTTTTAAAATGGATGTTATTTACTTTTTTTTACTCTCTTTATCACTCAGCCTCGGGGAGGTTTTTTTTACCTGGGGTGACCCTTCAATTGTTGATCCCAAGGATTTTTACCTGATCTTCCAGGCAAGTGAAACCCCGCGTTCTTCAGAATTCCACGGTCATTGGTTTTCAGGTTCATTGAACACCAGGATTTCGAGAGATACATCTTAGTCTAGGGGAAGTCTGAACGGAATATTTAGGGATTTATTATGAAATGAAATTGAGTAGAACTTCTGGATTCTTGTCAAAAGTTGTTTATTGAACTTCAATTACAGTTGTTAAAGTTTAATTAATTGGATCTCGTGTTCAACAACAAACTCCCAACGTCGTTACAATGACAAAGATTACAATTCGTGAATTGAAAGAGGGAATTATAAAGGAATTGATGAAAATTAGAGGTAAGTCTGTATTTCAAGCCTTGAAAACCATACGAGAACGAGAACTAAATTTCTTAGTGAAAATGCGTCTTCAATTGTTGAGTGAGACCTTATGAGCCTCCGTTGCGATCGCCGTTCATTGATTTCCTAGAGAACATTTATTTTTATCAGTCCTTTTGTTTTTTATTATTAAACTGAAAAATCTAGCTGAAACTAAAAACATGTCGAGAATGTTTACCAAATACTGTCGATATTTTTCGAAAAATTCTTGAGCTACAAAAAAAATTATCATTTTTTCCCCAATTCATAAAGGTTTTTACTTATATTATTTTCCTCTTCACCAGTAACTTGTTTTGTAAAATCTCAAAAAGGGATTTTTTTTCTTTTTACTTCAAAAATTAATGGAAGTTTAGTTTAAAAACTTTTCCACGCAAATTCATTTAAAACAAAGAAAACCTATTGAATATTTTTATCAGCCTTTGGCCATTCAACGATTAAATCCAAAACAGTCATGCAACGGCGCAATAACTACAGACTAATCAGTATAACGATTCCAAATGAGTTCACTACTTGGAAAAATAATATTATCGAGAAATTACGTGACAGTTCGGCAAACGTGAGACGATGTCTCATTTCATAAAAAATTGAAGAACTGATTTCATTTTCTACTCAAATTTTTATTATCACAGGTATTCCGCAAGGTGAAATAAAAATAGCGTTGAGGAGAAATAAAAATTCTTTAGTTCCGAAATGTTTTTATGAAATGAAACTTCTCCCTAAGTAATTCTTAGTGATAAATGTTTTCCTTCGTGTAATGAGCTGAAGTCAAATGACTCAGTCTAAGGGCGTACATCATTAGTCACTAATGATTAGTGTTTACCTGCTGCGAGATCTGGATGCTGATCTTGACCTCGTGCGTCGAGGACTACGATCCTTTGAATCGGATCTTCCCTTGCTGCGTGATCTTCCACGCCTGTCATTACCACTTCTGCTGCGTGAACGACTGCGCGATGATGATCGTGAACGCTTGTTGCTACGTGATCTTGATCGTGATCTTGAATAAGACCTAAAATTTGGTTAATAAATGATGAAGAAAATGAGCTGTGAGTTATAATCAATGATCGAGCAAAAAAGTAAATCCACAAAGAGCGGAGATCGATGCCACCATAATTCAAAATCAAACAAATCAATCACTTAAATCTCAATTATTTTCCTCGATCATTGATGCACTCCACGGCTTAAATTCACATAATCAACAAATTATCATCTTTTTCTTTATCAGCTGCAAAACAAGGAGACAGAATTTTACAGCATTAAACAAAAGAGAAAATAAAAATACAAACATTATCTTGGGATGATAAATTATCAATGTTCAAGAAATTATGAATTTTGAATTACTCAATTATTCAGTTAAATTCTCTCTGATCAAGACAATTTTATTAATATAAAAATAAATTCTTACTTATGTTACAGTAAATACTGACGTATACAGATATATACCTTCGATAAATATCTGTATACCCATTTTTACCGATTCAATTGCTTTATTGATCTTACTATTAAATCGCAGGTGAGAGCTGAGCGTACACACACGCAGTGTCAAATACGTGGGCCAGAACGTACTAGTGAGAAGATCTAGACGAGGTGTCATTTTATGCAGATGAAATCACGCGAGGGTCTCGCGAGATGAACACAGTTGACGCAGAGTGGCTAGATGGGGCCTATCGACGACGACGATGACGACTAAATACTGTTTTGTTTTTTTTTTTAGCTTTTTTTCTTTCATTTTCGTTTGAGATTCGAACAATTATGGAAACTAAGAGATAATTCGTCCCCCACTGGCTGGTGGTATCTCGAAGTGCGCCGAAGTAGACGTGTTTGCACTAGCCACCCCCCGTCTCGCCGGTGTATATTCGTTTTTTCACCCATATTTGGTATTCAGGGACGACGGGCGTGCAGAAGGAATACCCAAAAGTAGGTGCTCTACGCTGACAACTACGCAGTGTGTGTGTGTTTTGGAATGTTTTTAATTGTTTTTTTTTTTTTCAAGAAATGATTTTTCGATCGACTGAAGTTGCCCTTAGGCATTCTCGCGGATTATTGGCAGGCTGATTCAACGCTTCTACGCATGAGCTGTTTCACACAATGCGTATTTTTGAATTAATGGTTTTTGGTTTTTTTGTTTTTTTTTTTGTTTAATTTCCACACTGTCAGCTGGATCTCCTATAAATAACGTTGGGATGATTACATCTGTAATATTTACCCTGTAATCATTGACTGTTTTTTGTCTGTTGTGGGTTAAGGATGTTTATACTTATGCCTGAGGTTTGGAAAATTGTTGGGGTATCAATTCGTTTTTTTTTTTTTCGTGATTTTGATTCGTTATTGCGGAATCAATGGACTGCAATTATTCTGCCTCGTCACTCATCAAGAAATATAAAAGATCTGAATAAATTTTCCTTTAAAAAAATTGCAATTTCAATTCAAGGAAGATTAAACCCACAGGACTCTGAATTCCCTGGAGCCCTGATTACACTTCTCTCCATCAATAACTCCCGAATCCCCCGAACAACCCCAGAAATTGCCTGATAACCCCCACCCCCCAAAAAAGTCGTACAATCACGCAAGTAATGCCTCCCCTCCCCCAAGCAATCGATCCCCCGCCCCAAAGCCTCGAGCTGAAAAACCGTATAAACATCCTTAATTATCCCCCCAAGTGTCACAAAATGACCAATAAATTGTCCACACATAATAGTCCACATAACAGAGCAAAACAGTGAGAAATTGAAATTGAAATAATAGCATCAACAATAATAATAATGAATAAAAATGTGAAACAATGTAATATCAATATGAGAATATAATGAAGAGTTGATGAAATAAAAATGAGAAAAAGAGGCAAGTCAAACGAATGAATTACCTGCGTTTGCGTCCTCCCCTGTGCCTGGGACAGTCCCTGGCATAGTGTCCACGCTCACCACACTCATAGCAACGATCCTCAGGATGGAAAGGTCTACCACCAGCTCCACCACGTCTGGAACCACCACCACGATCCCTCAGACGTTTACCATTGGAGTGCTCGACCCTAGCTCTTCTTCCACAAATTGTTCTTCCATCCAAGCCCCTAACGGCGTCATCGGCGTCACGCGCGTCCTCAAACTCGACGAATGCAAAACCCGGTGGATTTCTAGCCACCCAAACATTCCTCAGGGGTCCGTAGTATGAAAATGCATCTTCGAGATCTTGCTTCGTAGCACTGCTGCCGAGATCCCCGACATAGATCTTACAATCGGACGGATAGCGTGACATCTGCAATGTTGAAGGAAATAATTATTCAACTTTTTATGGGGTGGATATTATCGAGGCGGCTTAACCACGCCGCACTCACCGTATTCCATTAACTCACCGTACTCATGTTTTATTGAAGTGAAAAGTCGTTAAAATCCTCTCCACATTCGTTAAAATGTACCACCGATGCTCCCACCCTGTGAGAGACACTATTCCCTCGATTTGCTGATTCTTATTCTCTTTTTTTTTCTCTTTCACCAGCAAAATCAATGCTTTCCTTGTGTTTCCACCCGAGTCCGTCCACAAAATGGTGGATCTAGGCTTTGGGTGTTTATTGAGTTGTCGCGAATATGATTTTCAGCCACTAGTTGGCGTCTGGCTCATTCTCATTGGCTCTCAAACCGATATTCCATGGATTTTGACCAATGGCGGGATCGCTTAAAGCACTTCGGGTTCTCTTCGTAATTCCTCAGTTTTTCGCTATAATGGGTACTCATTGGGCCGTTGTCGTTACCGGTATTCAAAATCTATCGACTCTTTGTAGCGAATTGGATCGCATTGGTTGGTATCGATACTCCAATGTAGACCTCATGCAATGGAAATATTTTTTATTTTAATCAACCAAATTACTAAAAAAAGCCTCCGAGTGGTGATTCTTCAGCTTTCAGCATTATTATATATAATTGTGGATTTTATTTTTCATTCAACCGAATTTTAGAGAACCAATAAAGAACGATTTCCTCACAATCGATTGTCCCAATTTTTATGATTTTTCAACTTCTTTTATCTTTCAAAAATGACGCATTTGAGTCCCAATAATTTAGGTAAATGAATCAAAAAATTCTGGAAGTCAACTTTTCAACTAAAAAATTAAATTTATGTTTAATGGTTTTTTTCGTTCAGTAATTGTTCTCCCAGAAATCGAAAATCAGCGGGAAAAATATCGATAGGAGGAAGGATCGATACTGAACCAGGAAATGCAAGTTGATCTCGATGGTTCAGAGGGAGTGATAATGGAGTGATTGAGACTCTTTGGAGGGGTTTATCGAGGAATTCGAAAATTCCACAGTTGGAGGTTATGATTCGCCTGATGATAACACGGGGCTGGACCGAGGTTAAAACATTTCACTGACGTGCAATCGTCTGTATTCGTTCGATGCAACATAACAAACAAAAAAATGTTGAGAATTACGTCGTCCAATCTGTCAATTGACAACCCTATTCACCACACAAGGAGTCCTCAAAAGTGAGCAGATCCAACTCGAGTTCATTAATCATAAGAAATCATGAAGAATTTCCAGTCGATTAGATTCAATTAATTACTCAATCAACCCACTGATTCGTAAAATGTCTGAAGCTCTGACAATTGGTGTTTACCGTCTGCCAAGAAACATCAGGTTAGAACAGGTTTCAATAATTTCGAATATTCCATCATGATCCAGAGAGCCAGACTCCCTTGAAAATCCAACGACTCAACTTCAGGAGATATCCGAGGCAATAGTATGAACCTGCAATGGCACCTCCTCCTGGTGTTCCTCATCTCCATGGGCTTCCCCACCTCCCAGGATCATCAGCCCCTTCCCCAGGACACTCAAGATCTCTGCAACACCACCGAAAGCCCTCCACCCACATTAAAAATTCAATTCACTTCAAAAATCGTTAAAAACGAGTACATAGTGGCCTTCAAGGGTTACTACAAGCGAAACACTCGTCAGAGTTACATCGGGGCAGCTCTCAACTCGTCAGGTGTCACCAACTGGAGAATTCTCTCTCGTGAGAATCCAGCGAGCGATTACCCAAGTGACTTCGACGTGGTGCTCCTCGAGGAAACAGATAACCAAAACGGTTTGAACGCCCTCACTGACCACCCACTGGTGAGAAGAGTGACACCCCAGAGGCTCGTCCACAGGACCCTGAAGTACTTCAACAGCACTGACGACAGCCCCGAGGCTGGTCATGATCCCCAGGACACTCCAGAGTACCAGAATTTCAAGAGGAAGATTTCAAGTTTCAACTCCAATCAATTCTCATTTCAAGGAAAATCAGCTAGTCGTCATTCCTCCAGGAGACTGCTGAGGGCTATCCCCAGGCAAATAACGACTATTCTCCAGGCTGATGACCTCTGGAGAATGGGTGTGACTGGTCGAGGGGTCAAGGTGGCGGTTTTTGATACGGGATTAGCTGCCAGTCATCCTCACTTCAAGAAAATCAAAGAGAGAACCAACTGGACCAACAAGAAGACAGTGGAGGATGGACTGGGTCATGGCACCTTCGTAGCTGGGGTCATAGCTTCTGCATCAAAGGAGTGCCTTGGGTTTGCCCCCGATGCTGAGCTCTATGTCTTCAAAGTGTTCACCAATGAGCAAGTGTCCTACACGTCTTGGTTTCTCGATGCCTTCAACTATGCCATCCTCTCCAAGGTGACTGTCCTCAATCTCAGCATTGGTGGTCCTGATTTTATGGATCATCCCTTTGTGGATAAGGTCTGGGAGTTGACTGCCAATGGGGTCATCATGGTATCGGCCATTGGGAATGATGGGCCTCTCTATGGGACCCACAATAATCCTGCTGATCAGATGGACGTTATTGGGGTGGGGGGAATCAATTGGGATGATCAGATTGCCAGCTTTTCGTCTAGGGGCATGACCACTTGGGAACTTCCTCATGGATATGGCAGGGTCAAGCCTGATTTGGTCACTTATGGCTCTGGTGTCAGGGGCTCGGCGTTGAAACATGGCTGCAGGCCGCTGTCTGGTAAGATGAAAGAGAAAAATTGTATTCCATAAATAGAACTAAAATTCACTGGGAAGAGCGTGAAACTGGGTCGAAGTTTGAATGAATTGTCTTTTTATTTTATTAAACTCAATAGATATTCATTAAAAATCGTAAAGAACCTTGAATTAATTTTTTAATGGAATGGATTGACTGTTTTTTTTTTTACCGTACGTGAGAATGAGGCAAAGCAGAACAGCGGAGTAAAATAAAACACCTGTTCAAATGTTTTGACCTTTAAAAAAACAAGATAAGCGAGGATTCCACTTTGCCTCAGTGTGTTATTTCGTCCCATCTAAAATTAAATACTTGCCACTTTCAAAATTTCTAGTTCTAAACTCGCATTAATGTCTGAAAATTGATGATTCTCTCAGGAACTTCTGTAGCCAGTCCTGTGGTAGCTGGTGCAGTTGCTCTCCTAGCAAGTGGTTTCGTGGGAAATACCAATAAAAATTCGGAGAATAACGAGCCTGACGATCGCCTGAGGAGGATCCACGAGAGGATAACCCCAGCGAGCATGAAACAGGCGTTACTCACATCAGCAGAACGTCTTCCAGGGGTTGGAATGTTCGAGCAGGGTGCTGGAAAGTTGGATCTTCTTCGAGCATTCCACTACCTGAGGACGTACACTCCTGTCGCGACCCTCAGCCCCAGCTACATTGACCTAACGGAGTGTCAGTACATGTGGCCGTACTGCACCCAAGCTGTCTACCACACAGCAATGCCCACTGTCATCAATGTCACGATAATCAATGGCCTCGGGGTATCTGGACAGGTGTCCAAGGTCGTTTGGCATCCCTACGTCAACTCTGAGAATGGAGATGGGGACAAAATTGAGGTGACCTTGACCCACAGTGATGTCCTCTGGCCTTGGTCCGGTTGGCTGGCTGTTGCTGTCACTGTGCCCAGATCAGCTGCCAATTGGCAGGGAATTGCTCAAGGGCATATCACGATTACTGTCGAATCTCCACCTGGACATGGGGAACATGAGCCTAGAAGGTCGATCATTGATTTACCATTGAAGGCGAGGGTTATTCCCACTCCACCACGCCACAAGAGAATCTTGTGGGATCAGTATCATAATTTGAGATATCCTCCAGGTTATTTCCCACGAGACGATCTCAGAGCCAAGAACGATCCTCTGGACTGGAATGGAGATCACATCCACACGAATTTCAAGGAGATGTACCAGCATCTGAGAAATAACGGTTATTATCTGGAAGTTCTGGGAACACCGTACACTTGCTTCAAGGCTAAACATTATGGTACACTTCTGATTGTCGACGCTGAGGAAGAATTTTTCCCCGAAGAGATTAACAAGTTGAAAAGGGATGTTGAAGACGAGGGGCTGTCGATTGTTGTGTTTGCGGATTGGTATAACGTTACTGTTATGAGGAAAGTCAAGTTTTATGATGAGAATACGAGACAGTGGTGGGTACCAGACACAGGAGGGGCCAATGTACCAGCATTAAATGATCTTCTAAACGAGAACTGGGGGGTGGCGTTTGGAGATTGGGTGGGGGATGGACAATTTAGACTAGGTGAGCATGCACCCATCAATTTTGTCTCGGGGACGAACATCGCGAGGTTTCCTGAAGGGGGGATTCTCCTGGGAATGGAACTCAGGGATCAGGGGGAGGAGTTGCTCCAGGGAAAGGAGGCTGGAGCTGTGAGCAGTGTTCCTATCATTGGTCTGTTGCAGAGTAAGAACAGAAGGTTCAACGAGATCGACGGACATGCTGGGAGGGATGATAATCATCCTGGGGAGGGAAACTCCTCGGGGGTCCCAGGAAGACTCGTTGTTTATGGAGATTCTAATTGTATCGATGATGCTCATTCCAAAAAACGTGAGTATTCAGCTTCGAAGTTTTTAGAAGTGAATAAAAAAAATTATATATTCTCCCATGAAAATTTTAGCTCCCTGCTTTTGGATGCTGGACGCCTTCCTGGAGTACACAACGACAGGACACGTGCCCTCCATCTTCACAAATGCTCGAAGCCGCCAAAAAATTCCAGAACAATCAGAGAAGCTCGCCATTCACCTACCAAAACGAATGGAAGGAAATCACTTGGATCGTCACAGCAAGGTCCTGGACTCATCATCGACAAGTGGTCAACATCTGCGTCCACTTCCCCAGTGTCCATCGTCGTCTCCAGCAGTGCCTCATCCCCTGAACGAGTCAGCGCCGACGAATCTCTACAAGCCTCAGAAGCTGCTCTCAATCGGAGATTACCTTCCAGCTCCACTGATCCAGCAGGAGTCAGACTCCACGTGGTTCAAGCGACGAAATGGAGGCGGCAATGGCCAGACTGTGAATCTGGAGCCCATGGAGGAATCCAGTGAACTCCACAGAAAAGTTACTCAACGCTGGCTCTACATGAGTCAGTGGACATTTATGCTTGCCCTAATTGTCATTTGCATTATTCTCATCTCCATCCTCCGGAATTGGATGCATTGCGGGACAAAAAGACCCTCCCGGAGGAAACGAGCCATGGGAAAGCTGAGAAGAGTCATCCAGGCTATCGCCGTTCATAGAGTGCCTCAGATGTAAAAAATAACATCATCGTTTTTATTTTTCACCCAAAACTAGGACAATTTTAATTCACAGGGGATCATAAGGAAGAGTTTTTATTTAAAAGAAGGAATACTATTGTATAAAGTGTTATTAGGGTACCAATACATTGACAAATTTTTGTAGAAATACAGGATCGAGTCAGTGATAGCGTAATTATGAGAGGTCTATTAGGATTAAGGGTAGTTAGGGATTTTGTCATTACCAACCGTCCATTACGAGGACTTGTCCAGTCAGAGACACTCTGTTGATTCAATTGTGGACAGAGAGAAATTTTTTGATAAATTATCTTTAATTCATTAGGAATATCTTTACGATATTAAATTCAAGTTCAAATAATTTTAATTAATATTATTTTTGTTGATTATTTTGTTAATCAGTTGTAGAATGGATTGTAGGTAACCCAGTGTGCCCTTGTCTGTTCAGCAGCTGTTTTGTGAGACGTGAAGATGCTTTTTAGAACTTCGGATGCTGCTGGATCCTTTGCTACACTGTAATTATCCTTGGTCTTTTTGAAAGCTGGATCCTGGATCTTGGCACCTGCTCTGCTTGGTCCGGCTTTTCCTTCCTTTTTTATTTTTAGCTTTTTCGGCTTCGATGATGATTCCTCGGTGGCTGGAGCATCTTCTGACGTTTGCCTCTTTTTCGATTTCTTTGATAATTTTCGCGCCGCTGCGTTGTCCTCCATCCGTTTCAAATCTTCTCCTTCTGCGTTGAGGGTTACGATGTCTGAAGACTCGAAGGGCTTTTGACATCTGTGACACACCTGTGGTGAAAAATGAAAGATTAATTACAATGGAGTCGAATTTATTTTCTCAATTAAGTTAATGGTTTTCAATTTTTTAATTCGGAGATATTCCTGAAACTTGTTTAGAATTTTAAATAAATATTTAAGGCCCGGATGTCTGGAAACGATAATTTACTCCAAAATTGGGACTTCTAATTACTCCGTCAATTAATCGTTTTTTCCGATAATTGTTAGCTAGCGGCCTAGTTGTTGACAACCACTAGAATGCTAGCTAACAATTATTGAAAAAAAACGATTAATTGGCAAAGTAATTAGGAATCCGAATTTCGGAGTAAATTATCTTTTCTAGATAATCCACCCGAGCCTTAAGGGAGTTTTAACAGATTGATGATTCAATTCAAATGATCATTTTTGAATTAATTAAAATGGGGCATTGAATAAAATTTTGAGTTATTGGGGTAAAAAAATTTACATACCGAACTTTTAACTTCTTTGAGTGCTCTCTCACTCATAACACATCCGCAAGTCCATAAAAAGCAGAATTTGTATTTTCCGTTCATCTCGAGTCCAATGACGGGACAGATGAAGGGGCTCTTTCCTCCATCGACGTATCCATCTCCAGTCTCAGCTTTAGTCGCATCGTAAGCTGGATTTGGGGTGAGATTCAGGGGCTTGATGTCCTTGAGACCCTTAATGTGAACCGCAGACTCTGGCAGGGTTGATCGATCCAGGAGTCCCTCGATCACTGCCTCCTTGCTGTAAAGCTTCCCCAGGGAGCAGGCAACAATTGGGGGTTGAAGGGGTAATTGTCTAATGGTGCAGTGCCTCCACCTGAATGCCAACTCTGCTTCTCTGTCTTTCTGATTACAGAACATAACGATATTAATATTCTTTTTGTACACTGAGGGAATTTAATTACCCTTAATTAAGAACATTTACTCGGTACAAGAAAATACACTCTTGTCAATAACATCAGGCATCATAACCCCCTGGATTTACCTGCTCTGGCTTCTTCCTTATTCGAACAAGTTCATCTCTTCTGGGAATGGTACCGCCATCGCAACCCATCGCTCCAAATTTATTTGAAAAAAGCAAAGTAATTAAAAATCAGGTATTCCCTTGAGAGTCACGTAAAATTCAATGGATGACTAGAGCAATAAACGAAGTACTGAATAAATGTCAAATTCTCAATTACAGCTGCATTGTCAACACTGCAGGAGAATTTCCATGTTGGGCTACTGTGCGCATGCGCGAACAATTTTAAAAACATTCATTTGAAAATTATTATTTCTCCTTTTCTGTTCTTTGAACAATTTTTTTATGATTCAATTGTTATGTCATTTTCATTAGTTTGGTAAATTATTTTTTAATCCGGAAACGGATTAACGGATTTAAGGCTCGGGTGGATTATCTAGAAAAGATAATTTACTCCGAAATTCGGATTCCTAATTACTTTGGCAATTAATAGTTTTTTTCAATAATTGTTAGCTAGCGTTCTAGCGGTTGTCAACAATTAGGCCGCTAGCTATTTTATTTTAATTATCGGAAAAAAACGATTAATTGACGGAGTAATTAGAAGTCCCAATTTTGGAGTAAATTATCTTTTCCAGACAGTCCATCCGGGCCTTAATTGGGAAAATGAATAAAAAAATCAATAATGAATCTACAGATGACTCTTTATTGCACGGATATGTGTAGATATATATCAATAGAATACATGCTTTAATACATACATCAATCTCTCTTCGTTTTTAATTTTGTCAGCCCCAGTTTAATTATCTAATCATGTCTATTTTATAATACTGTTCAAGTGACAAAGCGTTCCTAAAGAAGTACAAAGACTCAGGGCATTTATTTGCACCCCCTCGATCACCAACAGTGTGTCAACAATTCAACGCACCTGTTAAGTAGAAGTTTTGACACTACGTGTAAATATTGTTAAAAATAGTTTCATCTTTTCTTGTGTTCAATGGTGATTTAAATTATCTAGAGATACTTAGATCCACTGTCAGCACATCATTATTGAATTTTCCAGTAAAAGGACTTGACATTTTTTAAGGCCCGGATGGACTGTCTGGAAAAGATAATTTACTCCAAAATTGGGACTTCTAATTACTCCGTCAATTAATCGTTTTTTCCGATAATTGTTAGCTAGCCGCCTAGTTGTTGACAACCGCTCGAACGCTAGCTAACAATTATTGAAAAAAACGATTAATTGCCAAAGTAATTAGGAATCCGAATTTCGGAGTAAATTATCTTTTCTAGATAATCCATCCGAGTCTTAACGTCAATTTCATGTTGAATTTTAAAGACGAATGATATTTTTACGAACAATTTGATATTGAATGAAATTAAAATCCACAGCATGGACAATTCACAAGCACCTGTTACTGGAAATTGAAAAATTTTCTGACAGTGTGGGAATGAATCAAATACTGAAATACAATTAACAGCGACAATTAATCTACTGAATAATACCATCTCGAAAAAACGAATTATTCCTCAGTCATCTATAATACTCAGTGCTGAGCACAACGAATATTGACACAACACATTTTCGTTCGGTAATACAACAATACAAATACATATTAAAAATCGTCGTAACCGTAATCGACAAAAATTTGGCATTCCTTTTTGGTTTTTAATATAATCTGTTTGCACATGTAGATCGGCTAAAAAGTTGACTGTACGTCATCAACAATGATTGACAAATCTATTTAAACACTGATCGAAAAAATGTACCAGTTGGAAGAAACATCTGTAATTAGAATTTGCAGGAGTTGAGTTTTACTAAATAGGTTGGCAGGAATCTCGTTTATTTCGACTACCTACTTGGAGCAATATAATCATTTGGGGGATACCATGATTGTTTATAATTATTCTCCATTTCCTAGTAGTGAGCAAAGATTTATCATTTAGCATGATAATATTTTTTACGAAGCTCTCGTCAAGCTGTCTATTTTTTTACAAGTACTTCAACTCTATCGTTCTATACTTGTGCAATGCCTATACTGAAAATATACTGAAAATATATTATGTATATCATTCGATCTTAGATTCATCGGGAGTTCAGAAAAAGCTATAAAAATAGCCCTTAGCAAACCTCTCAACCACAGCCCATTCTTTTATTACTTTTTTGTATTCAAATATCAAGAGTTTCTCATTATTTCTTCCATCTTGTTTCGAAGGCAGGATTAGTATGTTATAATTATCGTTATTCACTTGTGATTTTTATTCTCAAATGAAGCTATATGAAAATATTTTTATACACACATCAAAAATTTGATCGACAGCTTTGTCACAATCTGATTATTTTCTTTCATACATACGAGGACGTATTTTTTTGTGAAAATTCATTTTTATTTTCGTAGTGTATGCAGGACGTAAGAGATTCTTTTTCCATTTTTGTTGAAATATCGGTTACATCTAGAAGATCATCTAGTTTCTGTCTAGTCATTTAGATTAGTCTACTGATTACGTTATTAATTAATGGTACGATCTCGTCGGAGAGTGGAAATTGGTAGATATGTTTGTGGTTACAGATTTTCTGGGATAACTGCAGATCATATCACTCTCTTATAATAAACAAATAATTTAAATTAAATAACAATGAGTCAACTGAAACGGATTCAGTAAATAATGAACGTCAACAGCAACGAAGAAATACAATCACTGACTTTGATACGATAAAGTAAATTAACTCGAATAAACAAATAATCTTTAACAAAACAAATATAAGTCATTGGCATTATTACACGTTGGGACGCACGAAGATGGAATTTTAAGTGAGAAATAAATAAAAACAATTGCACATTTCTCATTTACCACGACTTTCGGTATTGGCTGCATTTCTTTGGGAGTAAATTGATCCCTCAGCGAGTCCTCTAAGTGCGCCCTTTCGTAATTCGGGATTTGGTCCTTTGGCAAGGGTTTTACGGTTGGAGACTAATGAGGAATCTTTTCCAACTGATAGCAATCGCGTTGATGACTCTTTGGAGAGATTGGAGGGGTCTGGGCCTGCCCAGGGGGCATAATCAGGTCTAGAACATGATATTTCGTTATAATTTGTTGAATATCTCGTGTTTCAAGTTACTTACAAGAGCAAATCGTTGTCTGCTCCCTTCGCCAGTTCCGAATTAGCACCTGTGGGTTTTATCAAATACAGAGATTTGTATTCACCATCTTCAGTTGTACTCGTGCCTCGTGAAACCCTGCAAATTTATCCAATTATTTTGATACAAAAGATCTAAAATCACGTGTTAATTTTTCTTGTCAAGTTTCCTTGACATTTTTTATACTCGTAAAGACTCACTTTGGCAACTCATTTCTGTTTTTCGACCTTTTGGATTTCTCATTATCCTTGTCCTTGATCATCTTTTTAATGGGAGATGCTGTTAATTTTATTGCTTCTGTCATGGGGGGACTGTCTTTCCTATCATCACTCCTGCTGCTGCCACTTAAATCACAAGAAAATTATTTATGGTTGGTAAATCAAACCGTATAATTATAAATTAATTCAATTGTGCAATTGCATTGAGACAAGTCTGTTCAGTCTGTTCACTCATTCCAATTTTAGGATGATTATGATTTATCTATTTAGTTGTTTAATTATTTAGAAGGAAATAAGTGCAATTGTTGCGGGAAAAATGTACCTATGAGTACTGGAGGTCCGAGGTTGACTAATAGCTTCCTCGGCCACCATAATATCCAAGATATGAATAGCTCTTTCTTCGTCGTAATCTACACTGTCCATGGCCAGTGTTATCACTCGCTCTGGCACAGATTTGAACTTCTCCATGAGTTTCGATTTCACTGAAAATCCCAAATAAATGTCATTCAAAAAATGTCATGACAATAGACAGCAACAATTGATGATTAGACTCACTCTTATTTTTCTCCTCGAGACTCTTCATCCTCGGTGGAGGTGTTGGAGCAGATCTAACTTGTCTCGATCTCATCTCCTCTTCTTCTTTTTTCTCTTTGGCAATGGTTTTGATGGGGCCAGTTGGATTTTTCTTCTCATATCCCTGCTCCAGGAGTTTCTCAGTTGCTTTCTGAACATTATTATCGCTCTGTTCCAGAATATCGAGCAGCAAAGTCTCATCGACTTTGGGAAATATATTTTTCAGGTACCTGCGTCAAGATTAATGTCATGTAATCCAATCATCATTGTTATTATTGAAATTATTGTGCATAACTTGCGATATGACTGTTTTACATGGCATAAGTTGAATACCCTGAGAAATACAATTAGTTCTTAAGAAATATTTATTTACTTGGGAAAATTCAATGTTTATCAAAAAAATATTTTGGAATTATCCTCCTAAGTTAATGAATATTTACTTGAACAAAATATTTTCTCAGTTTGTTGTAATAATTCCTACTTGGATACGACAATATATGTCTGCTACAGTACTAGATCGACACACTATCGGCTTCATGTCATGGATTTTCTATATTTCATGAGACATATTCATGCATCGATGGAATTTTTAATTTTGTCATTAATCAATTATTAATTGTTAGTCAGTTATGGAGATTAAAAACTTGAAACCGTCACAAATGAATACATTCATTGACCCAACAGGTTCCAGCATTTTCCCTAGAGTTTCATTCAATTAACATGCATATCCTCATGCGCCAGTAATTCCCACGATAACAATAAAAAATTGATAAATCGGTTATAACATAAAAATAAATCATAGAAAAAAATGAAAACTGACCTAGATTTGTATGAGACTCATTCTCATTACAAATTAGTCAAATCCTTGAGTGAACGGAATTCAATGAAAAACTGAAATTAAAAGAGTAATAAAGGGTTTAATAAAAAATGAGGGAGTGAACCGAAATTTATTATTGAATAGAATTTAGAGCGGTCACCCTCACTCAACGAAATGTACATGGATCAAAGTATATGGGTTTTTACGTATGCTTCATTGATGCACATAATATCGAATTACGTCGGGAGTAAAGAAATTCCAGGTGATGAGTCGTTTTCGCTGGTCGCCTTATCCTCTTTCGTTCTTTATTTTTTATGTTAACTCATTTCTGATCTGAGCTTTCGGCGAAGATTCCGAAATCTTTCTAAAATATTTATGACCCATAACTGATTCATCCCGTTTTCACAACTGGAATTTGATTGCAACATCTTTCAAGCCTTGTCAAACAATAAAAATAATTATCTACAACCGAAAAAAAAAATCTGCATTCGATATAAACTGTTCAAAAATTCCGACTGAATATTCTAGATCTTCTAGATCTTGAACTAAAAATATCCAAAAATCCAGAATAATTTCTGAATAATTTCCAAAAACAAAAGTATCATGCCAAACGATCTGAGCATTTTCAAACCCCGAAATAGGCGTTGGAAAGATGATGCAGCATAATAGAATAAAAATAATAAATAATCTACTGGAGCTAATCTAGTACTAATGATAAAAATGGTCCATCCGGCATACAACAGACTAGTAAACGTAAAATACGAATGAGCACATGTAGCATCCAGACTGGAGGGATTGTGACTGAAACAACGAGATAAAAAACAATAATTAAACAACCTAAGTTTCATTTTTGGGGAGTTTGGGGCTGGCCGTGCCCCACGCGGTGGACTCAATGTGATAGCAGCATGAATAGCATGAGCTGGTAGTCGCCATCTCGGTATAGCATAGTTTGAATGAACTCCCACTGGTGTGCCTGGACCAGGCGCACATAGTGGATTCTTCTCAATTTGCAGTGCACTCACTACCAATGCCGGTCTATTATGGTATCTGAAATTCAATTCGCTCATAGCTTAGGACTTGTCCCCCTCGCCTACCCAAATTCGTTTTAATGACCAAGAAATAATAATTTTCTTCATCATTATCTCCACCAACTCATCAATTTTAGTTGAGCAATTTGTTAGCCAATTTAATTAGTGGTAATTGTGAGTGTGATTACAGCGTTAGACATATTATTTTTGTAAAAAGTGTTATTTACAGAAATACCATCCCAAGAGTCTCAGATTCCAATGGCGATTGGTCATTATCTAATTATTATTTTATTATATTTCATTTTTTACGAAATTATTATTATCTGTTCATATGAAATATTGTCTTACAAAATCATTATCAAAATTTCAAAGAGTTCTAAAAACATCGAACTCTACATTTTTGAGATGTCAATCTTTAAAAATTGGGAAATGTAATTTCAGAGTAATTGATTTAAAGAATTGGAATAGGACATGAAAAAGAGAAAGCGGAGCAATATTTCAATTAATAACTTTACATTTATCTTTGGTAGGATGAATAATCACCACATCGCCATTGAATTTTTGGGAGAGACTTATTAATTGAATGGAGTACTAAATGAATTTTTATAATGAACTTACTTTTTTAATAAGAGTCGAATATGCGTGTCCGAGACAGTAGGAAATATAGCGTTTATCTTAGCAACTGATAACTCAACATCACTGTTTTGAGTTAAACTCGTTTCCATATTTCTGACTGGTGTTGATGATCCAATAGTCATGTCACCAAATCTATTTGTCATTCCGCTGATTGATCGTGTGGACATTGGTGTTTTTAGTTCCTATTCATTAAGATAATCGTTAAAAATTCAGGAAAATAAAACTGACAAAAATTCAGACGATGAGATCAACCGTAAAGTTCTCCTTTTCTCAACAATTAAAGAAAATTCTAGTTAATTGAATTTGATTCTCCAGAAATGCGTAATTAATACCCAAAATTTTAAAAACTCTGGAGTTTCTGGAAAATATCTCAAGATCTAAAAGACCTAGCGAAATTTCCTGAAGTTTGAATTTGTAGAATAAAATAAGAGCTTCAAAAAACTCTTCACGAAAAGATTTATAATATTTTTACATTCAGAGATATTCCTTGAGAACTTACGTATTAATTAAATACGTAGATTATGGCTTCTTCGAATCGAAAAAAAAATGTAGAAGTTCAAGGATAAATAATTCTTTTCCAATTTTCCCATTCAACTCATATCTCAACAATAAGAAAAACCGTTTGGTCAAAACGTTCTCTGCATTATTATTATTAATAACAATCACATTATTGTTTCTAGCCTGAGAAAATTCGAAAAAAAAATGGTTCTGGTGTTCGAAAGATGACAACTGGAGATTCAAAATATTTCAATGAGTGGGATTTCCCTGATTTCACCTCTTGTCCGTATTTTTTTACCACTTGCTTAATTATCTGTCAATCGAAACAAACACTGCACATTGAGAGAATTTATAAATTATTCTTCGAATAAAAAAAAATCTAGAAGTTCAAGGATAAATAATTCTTTTCCAATTTTCCCATTCAACTCATATCTCAACAATAAGAAAAACCGTTTGGTCAAAACGTTCTCTGCATTATTATTATTAATAACAATCATATTATTGTTTCTAGCCTGAGAAAACTCGAAAAAAAAAATGGTTCTGGTGTTCGAAAGATGACAACTGGAGATTCAGAAGATTTCAATGAGTGGGATTTCCCTGATTTCACCTCTTGTCCGTATTTTTTTACCACTTGCTTAATTATCTGTCAATCGAGACAAACACTGCACATTCAATGTACCTGTGAACTGGGGGGTAGAAATGCTGGTTGTGGACTATTGTAGGGTGACGGATAGATTTGAGGAGCCCTGTGAGCAGCCGCATACATCAAGTGACCTCCACCACCACCGACAATACCTCCTCCAGTCTATTTCCATCGCAGATATTGCGTTCGTATTTTTTAATCAAATCCACGCAGCATGTACACACATTTATGCCAATTATCGATTTACATGTAAGGAAGAATGAGGCAAAATGAAACTTCTTCGAATTAATATAAAAAAACTCTCGATTCAAATTGATTTAAGGACCGGTTGGATTATCTGGAAAAGATAATTTACTCCAAAATTGGGATTCCTAATTACTCCGGCAATTAATCGTTTTTATTTCAATAATTGTTAGCTAGCGTTCTAGCGGTTGTCAACGACTAGAACGCTAGCTAACAATTATCGGAAAAAACAATTAATTGGCGGAGTAATTAGGAATTCCAATTTTGGAGTAAATTATCTTTCCGAGATACTCCATCCGGCCCTTAATTCTTGGGTAATATATTATTAGGTAATAATTGATTCAATAATCGATTGTTTTGATCGGTTTCATTTTCCAGCATTAATCCTCGAGACAAATTCAATGTTTTCTGCTCCGATTCGAGAGACTTATCTAACATGCGGATCACTTAACGTACTATTCAATTTTATGATACGTGTGATCATTTTGTGATTTAATTACAACCGGACATAATCTACCTATTTGAATACTGAATCTCCTGACCTAATGATTTGATTTTAATAAATCTGATCTGGGACTGAGGTTCAATATATCAGCACTATATTGAAGCCGACATATTTGAATCATCTGTCATTAGATGCATTGAAGAACGATTACCAAAATGTCCAAGAAAAAAATTTCTTAAGATCTCATTATTGTTTAAATGTTTACACTAGAATCCCATCACAGTCGCATGTCTCCTCAATTTATTTTTATGCGTATCTTTCGGTTTTTCCGTTGTAATACATCCGGCCTACACGATGTAAACAATCCACTGTTTCGTACATTAAGCAATTGAATTCCGGGCAAAATAAACCCGAAGTAGTATATTTCGTAACAAGTGCGGAAAATGTATTTTTGGTATGTGGAATCATACCACTGGTCCTCAGCTCGTGCTATTAACTTCCCACACGCAAAAATCACTTTTCCGCACTTGTTATGAAATATGCTATTCTCTCGTATTCGAATTTGCTATGAAAACTTTCAGTTTACGGTCGCTGCGAGTACTGAGTGCACTTTACGACGAAAATTTAGTACCTTCGGATATTAAATCGATACTTTAAACATTAACCATGAATAATTACTACGAAATGAATGGATTTTATCTCCAAAAAACCGACCTGCATAGGTATTGCCTCTTGCGAATTCCCCGTGGATGGAGAGCTCGTTGCAACGGAATTCCCTTGTAAATACTGTGCATACTGCCAGTATCGAACCCTTGGATCTTCCCATGTAGTAGTTCTGCTGAAGTGATTGATGAAGTACCTGAAACATCATTACAATGGTCCATTGGTTCGTTAATTCTTTCACTCATTCATGAGTAACTTTTCTCTCCCTGACACACGTAAACAATTGCATGCCACCCTCATTATGTACAACTGTATTTAACAGAAGTATCGGAAACTCATACATATATAATGCCATTCAATAATAATTGGTAATGGGATAGTGACGAGAGTCAGGGATGAGGATAATACATTAGCTTGGATTTATTGGAAATTACATGGGTGTGTTATGCATATTGGTGCACATGGAGAGATTATTTATATATTCTCTCAATTTACTCACGCACGACCACTTCTTATGTCATATCTGCACTCCCAACCCGGTGGTAATTGGGCTCTTTCATCTTGCTCCGCCATTTTTGGGATTTCTGTGTGCACTTCTGACGGCCAATGGCAACGTATGTAACTCTCTTGTGCATCTACGACGTTAGATGTGAACGTGTATATATGTGTGGTACATATTATCTTGGATGGATGCTGCGCTCTATTTGTCTCATACGCGTTTCTCTCGACGGAGATTGTAGGGAAGATTGTTAGCTTATGAAAAGGCTTTTCGACAAAATCTTTCGTGGTGGTGGCGCGGGAACTAATCGGGAGAATTAATCGCGCGAATAATGAAGAGTACGAGCAAAGAGGATTGACTAAAGTAGAGGCTCAGTTCGGGGGGTTTGGGGGACCCAACCCACATCGTAGTACCCCACCCCGAGGGAGAGAGGGTGCCGCACGCAATGGTGGGGGGCCTGCCTGACAGCCGATTCGGCAACTGCCCCAGTATACTGAATATTACCAACGAAGTAACTTCGGTTTTGTTCGGCTCGACTGGTGGGGAACACGGCCACAAGTGGGGATTTACAGAGTGGGGGTTACGGCCGAGGTTACTCCTCTGACAATATTCACTATACTGCCTCAGTAGTAGTCCCGCTGTTAGAGGAACCGGTCGACGGGGTGAATGTTATTTTCGGCGGTACGCAATCGGGTTTTGTTTTTTATTATAAAATTTAGAATTTTCACATATCTGTGAATTCTCCTGCTCCCCTGATACATTTTTTAAAATTTCGAATTTTTCAATTTCAATTAATACCTCCTCGATTTTCATGCTCCCCTGATACATTTTTTTAAATTTCGAATTTTTCAATTTCAGTGAATACTTCCTCAATTGTCATGCTCTCCTGATACTTTTTTAAAAATTTCGCATTCACATTTCAGTGAATACCTGCTCGATTTTCATGCTCCCCTGATACTTCTTTGAAAATTTCGAATTTTCAAATTTCAGTGAATACCTCCTCTATTTTCATGCTCCCCTGATACTTTTTTGAAAATTTTCAATTTTTCAATTTCAGTGGATACCTTCTCAATCATCATGCTCCCCTGATACATTTTTTAAAATTTCGAATTTTTCAATTTCAGTGAATATTTCCTCAATTGTCATGCTCTCCTGATACTTTTTCAAAAATTTCGCATTTTCACATTTCAGTGAATACCTGCTCGATTTTCATGGTCCCCTGATACTTTTTCGAAAATATCGAATTTTTTAATTTCAGTGAATACCTGCTCGATTTTCATGCTCCCCTGATACTTTTTTGAAAAATTTCGAATTTTCAAATTTCAGTGATTACCTCCTCCATTTTCATACTCCCCTGATACTTTTTTGAAAATTTCGAATTTTCAAATTTTACTGAATACCTCCTAGATTTTTATGATCTGATACTTTTTGGTTAAGAGTTAATGGACTTGCTTAGGGGCTAATTCGATTTGGTTAAGGGCTATTTGGATTTTGGTTAAGGTTTAATTGGACTTGGCTAAGGGTCACATGGGGGCGAAAAATTTAAGTGACTTCATAAAATTTTTAAATTTCAGTGAATACCAATTTCGTAACGCAGAAAATAACATTCACCCTCTCAACTGGTCCCTCTGCCAGCTGGACAGCTACTGAGGCAGTTACCGAGTCGGTTGAGGGGCAGACACCCCCATTGAGTGTGGCGCCCTCCCTCTCTTGGGGTGCAGTACTACGATGCCGCTGGGGTCATTCAAACCCCCAGAATTGAGTCTCTACTTCAGTCAATCCTCTTTAGATTTCATGTTGAAGGCTTTGCACAGGCGCTGGCAATCTCCCTGATAATCACCGAAAGTGTTTGTTCATCCTGTCCGCTGAAGTGAGGTTACCAGAACTACCTAAAACTCCGATAAATCCCAATCTATCAACATGCCACTGGAAAACCTGGAAGAGGATGGACTGGAGAAAAATCCAAACCTGGAACTGGCACAGACAAAATTTTTGCTGAGTCTATCAGAGCACAAAAACGATGAGACACTTAAGTCTAAATTACTCGACGCCATAAAAGCCGAAAGTGAGTTTGCAAATTTTTATTTTTCTCGGATTCAACCAAAAAATTTGGATTATTCTCCTTGATAAACCTCTGGCAGTGACAATCGTCGATCTGCCATTGATAATTATGAATATGTAAACAATCAGTCGTATAACCTCATTGTTTGACAGGAGAGGACAACTAGAATCTAATAGATACTCTCGCCTCTAGTTTACCGAAAAAAAAACAATATTTCTAACAATTTCCAATATTCTCTCAATTTCACAGACATGGCACCGTTCTACGAGGAGGTGTGCAAAGATTTAAATTGGCCGATCGACGAGAATCTCCTGGAAACAATGAAAGCTCGTAATCGAGAGCAATTGAAGGCCCTCGACGACGCCATCGAGGATGCCGAAAAAAATCTAGGTGAAATGGAAGTTCGTGAGGCGAATTTGAAAAAATCGGAGCACCTCTGTCGCATTGGTGACAAGGACGCTGCTATTTTGGCGTTCAGAAAAACATACGAGAAGACTGTGTCTCTGGGTCACAGACTCGATATTATTTTTCATAATATCAGGATTGGTCTGTTTTATATGGATCACGATCACATCACGAGGAATATTGACAAGGCGAAGAGTTTAATCGAGGAAGGCGGAGACTGGGACAGGAGAAATCGTTTGAAGGTCTACCAGGGCACTTACTGTATAGCAGTCCGTGATTTCAAAGAGGCCGCCAATTTTTTCCTCGATACGATAAGCACATTCACCAGTTACGAACTCATGGACTACAATACATTCGTCAGATACACTGTCTACTTGAGTATGATCAGTTTACCGAGGAACGAGCTGCGTGATAAAATCATCAAGGGCTCGGAAATTCTCGAGGTTCTTCACAATAATCCTGACTGCAAGGAGTACCTTTTCTCACTGTATAATTGTCATTACGCTGATTTCTTCAAGAATTTAGCACACGTTGAGGGACTTCTGAGAAGGGATTACCTGATTCATCCTCATTATCGTTACTATGTACGCGAAATGAGAATATCTGCGTACACTCAGCTGTTGGAGTCCTACAGATCTCTGACACTTCAGTACATGTCTGAAGCCTTTGGGGTTACTGTCGAGTACATAGACCAAGAGCTCTCTCGGTACATCGCAGCAGGTAGACTCCACTGTAAAGTTGATCGTGTCGGTGGAGTCGTAGAGACCAATCGTCCTGACAGCAAGAACTGGCAATACCAGGCAATGGTGAAGCAGGGGGATCTTCTCCTCAACAGGGTCCAGAAACTCTCACGTGTTATCAATATTTAATTGTCTTTCTGGTGTGTCTCCTCCACGGTTAAACCCCATTGCATTAAACTAATGAAAGAAGTGCGGCAAAATGCACACTAGAAACGATTTTTCAAATATTCATACCTCTGGAATAAATTCATTATTTGAATTCAGATGTTTTGACATTTGAAAAAATGTATCACCTGTCAATTTTGCCTCGTTTGTTTTTTATTAATTGATGAATTCTGTTCTCAATTTATCATTCAATTCAGTAGTTAAGTGACAAACTGAGATAAGCCTAATTAAATATTTCACTCAATCCGCGATTAATCACGAGAATATTCACATTTATTAAATTTCCAAGAATAACCGCGAATATTCAAGTTGAGAATCGATACTTGTCTAGATCAATCAATATTTAACAAATAAACAATTGGGCTTATCACACTTCATTACTTAACTGCTGAATTAAAAAAAACACAGTAGCAAAATAAAATAAAATTGCAATTATTTTACTTCACCATTTCGCTAATGAATTACGTCGGGATGAGGCAACTTCCATCGTTAAACAAATTACAAGAACGCTATTATAATACTTTTTGTAAAAGAATGATTAATAATTACCTTGGAGTTTGAATTTTGGTTTTTTTGGCGCTCGCAGCGTCATTCCCCTTCCCTAGGGATTTTAGAATGGGCCCCTTCCCTCCAGAATTCATTACTCGTCGTACTAAGATCACGTCAAGACCACAAAGAGCATCTCTGAAGGATTTCTCTATTTCCTTTATTATTGTCAGAGATTGTGTAAACAATGATTTCATTTAATTAACCTCAAATTAATTGATGAATTTGTAAATTAATTTTATTAAATCACAGTATCCTTCGAGGAAGTTGAAGTGAGTATTTTACAGTTTTCATTGTTGGAAGAATGGCGGAAGCTCAGTGGAACAATTCAGTGGTTCTCGGTATTGTTATGGTTCTTTTTTTATAGGTTTCAGTTAATTGAGGCTTCAACGAGGAAAATATGGGGCGCAAAAAGAGCAAAAGACAAGCCCCAACACGTAAAAAGGCCATTGAACCACTTGAGACACAATTCACGTGTCCATTTTGTAATCACGAGAAGTCGTGTGAAGTGAAAATGTAAGGGGAATGCAATAATCTGATTTCTAATAATTAATGTAGGACTGATTCATGAATTCGTCTGTCATCGATTCAACAAATTCCACATTTTTATATATGAAATTATCAGACGCGATAATTCGTACATTTTTATTTTAAATAATTCATATTTATGAATTTAGTCTTTGGTAAATATTTTTTTCTCTGTTATGGCATTTTATTTTTATTTTTTAGGGACAAACCACGTAAAACTGCTCGGATATCTTGCAGAGTTTGCCTAGAAGATTATCAAACATCTGTTAATATACTCTCAGATCCTCTGGATGTCTACAATGACTGGATCGATGCCTGTGATGCCGCCAACTGAGTCATTCTACTCTGTACCTGTTCTACAGATCATCGAAACTCAAAAAAAAAAATGATAATTCAATGATAACGAATCATGGAATGTATATTCGACGTGTGCAAATGCGTCGATACTTGAGACTTACACAAGATTTTTATTATGGTATTTTTATACATTGCGTATACCATGAACCATTTATTATTCCATGATTATTTGTGAAGGAACTGCATCAGGAATTGATTAAGAGCATATAATTCTTTCTTTAAGGGAATACGGATCACGGAAGCTGTGGAATATGAAAATATATGTAATACTATGTCGATATAATTATAATTATCTGAAATTTAAGTTTAGATTGTCATATCAGATTCATGCTTCCTCGACATAATTTACGAGTGATATTTCCGGACGTTGAGCTTTTCTTTTTATTTTTGGAGCCTTTATGTTCTGTAATATTCGTCAATTATGTATGAAAGTATTAATAAAGTATTGAAATTGATTTTCCACTGGAGTTATTCATTGCGTAATTATTACAATTGTCTTAATTTTTTTCTTGCTTTTCTCTCCTTAAAAATCCCATTCAATATAAAAAACATTTTGCAAATATGTCCAATTATCAATCATCCTAATTAATATGTACCTCCAAGTTATTATCAAATAAATGATAAATGTGAATAATCTCTGAATAATTAAGTGCATTATTAAATTTCACAGGGAATTTTTTCCAAAGTTTTTTGATAAATTCATTTAATCCTCGAATTATCGTCGATTCGATATATTTTTTCTTAGTATTGGGTTTGAATATATGTACCTCCTCGTCGTTTCAGAGGAGGCCATATTGAAAAATATGGAGTTAACAATTATTTTAGAGATGAGTAAAAAAAAGGAGATTGTGAAGTGATTACATGCGTTATGTATTTCCTCTTGTGTAATGTTGATACATATGTTTCGTGTTTTGTTAGGATACATGATCTATTGTCTTCTATTAGCAGATCCTGACTGACTAGCAAAAACAATTTTTATTATTATTTATTCCTCAGTATACGAGTCCTCGGTTGATACGAAATCTGTTAAAATATAATGTATAAAACATGTAACCCTTTTGTCATAGTATAAAATGTTAGTGTCAGCTGTTTTCTCGTATTGTTCCTCCGTCCCAGCGAAGTTAACCTCGACATAGTGTTGGAAGATGGGGAATTATGCGGGTAACATTATTATATAGTGAGTGTCAATAGTCATTATTTCTGTTTTTCAATCACATGATCATCGATGCTGACAGAAAAAATTCATTTCTGAAATCAAGTTTATTCTCGCCACAAACTTCCTTTTTTGGCTTTTCCGTTTTTTCATTCAATGAAAGATGTCATTATGTGTACATATTGAAAATTAATGTTGTAAATTGTATTAAAATTCATGTAAACTTATTTACCACTGCCTCTCAAGTGTATATAATATTTGAGGTTTGGGTTTATTATGATATTGTATTTTGCATTGAATTTTTCTTAAAAGATTTGATTCGCCAGAATTTTTGAAGGAGTGTTTGTGGCAAGGATAAATTTGTGTCTAGAGATTTACTTATTTTTCTTGTGTACGAGATGGTGGAACCTGTGATTATGATACCGATTTATTTTCAGTCTGCTAATATTATTCGCCCTGGGTGTCATCTATGGAACAACTCGAATTGTCAAGTCCTTCACAGACACTCAGGCAGATATACTGAAGCCCTCAGTCTCCTACAGCTGGATAATCAGGCTGTGCCTGAACTCATTGGGATATGGAACTGTTTTGTTGCCAGGGTACTTAGTGTACAAGTACGTCTGCTTCAGCAAGTACCTGCAAAGGGCTGGTAAGTCAACAGTTGAACCGTGAAAAATAAAATGGCCATTTAATTTCCGTTGTCTCTCATCAGGTTCGGGATTCCTACCGAAATTAATAGGAAAATGTTTCGTGGGAGGTGTAGAATCAGGTCTCCTGGACTCTCCATCATATACTCCAACAGCGAATGGATCTCGAGATCCTCACTCATTCTCCCAGGATGCCATTCTACTCATGTACTGTTTCATTGGTTTACAATTTAGTTACCTAACATGGGGATATCTACAGGAGAAAATCATGACTCAGGAATACGTTAATGCAGCTGGTGAAAAACAACACTTCCATGACTCTCAATTTTTAGTGTTCGTGAACAGAATACTGGCTTTCACGATGTCAGCGTTATACCTGATGGTGAAGCGCCAGCCACGTCATGTAACTCCTTTATACAAGTACACCTTCTGCTCCTTGTCAAACATAATGAGCAGTTGGTGTCAATACGAGGCCCTCAAATTCGTGAGCTTTCCTACGCAAGTGTTGGCAAAGGCTTCCAAGATCATTCCAGTGATGATCATGGGAAAAATAGTGTTTCGCACCTCGTACGATTACTACGAGTACGTCACAGCAGCCCTCATCTCCATAGGAATGACTCTCTTCATGCTCGGTAGTGTGGAGCATAAGAATGACGGAGTCACCACTATTTCTGGGGTCATTCTGCTCACTGGATACATGGTGCTCGATAGCTTTACTAGCAATTTTCAGAATTCACTGTTCCAAGAGTATGGAGCTACTAGTGTTCAAATGATGTGTTCTGTCAATTTATTCTCGTGCTTGTTAACTGCTACCTCGCTCTTTCAACAGTCCAGCTTCGCACAAACACTCGAGTTCGTTACGAAGGTGAGCTTTTTTTTTCACCTAGTGTGAGAGAACATTCGATGATTTTATAAAAATAACATTGGAGAACATTTTACTCTTGAGAAATTAGAGTTTTATATGAAAAGAGAGATAATAGTTTACTCTTTCGCGTATTCATAAATCATCATAATCCTATGAATAATCAGATTGAAAATAAATTGTTCGATGGAACAATAGTTGGAATATCTCTAATCAAATTAATAATATTAATTATATACGTGTTGATAAAATATATATATTTTTTAAATTAATTTTACAGTTTCCAGTATTCATCGTCGATTGCTTGCTTATATCAATATGTTCAGCCAGTGGTCAATTATTTATTTTCTATACGATAGCTAAATTTGGAGCTGTAACTTTTGTGATAATAATGACGATACGTCAGGTAAGTCCAATGGCAGAACCATTAAAAATGTTCTACAATATTCTGATATTGATTATTGTATTGTTTTCATTCCAGTTACTAGCAATATTGCTGTCTTGCCTGGTATACCACCATCGGATAACTTCCTTCGGAGTTTTAGGAGTCCTTCTAGTGTTCGGCTCGATATTCCTAAGAATATACTGTGGCAATCGGTTACGAGCCCTTCGAAATCGCAGCCGAGAAAATGCAACTACTAAAGATTGAGTGTTTTACATCAACCAAATATCGAGCCAGTTTCGTAATTATATTGGGTCAATCGCCAGAATTATTTATTATGACAATACCATTAAACGTGGAATCAGTACTTAGAACTTTTCGAAGACTATACAATCGAGGATTTTTCAGGAATAGAAACGATCTATCCTATTTTCTTTTTGTTAATTTTAGCAGTGCAATACGTGAAAGCCTACGTTAGCAGATAATGAAAAGGAATTAATAGAAAAAGTCATTTAATTTAAAACGTTCGACCATAAGTCTAGAGAATTTATTCATCGTAAGTTACAAGGCATAGGGCATTATCATTTATTAAATTCTATCAAATATTATTGAAAATCCTAATTAAGCACACAATAGTAATAATGAATGACTAACGTGCAGAATTATTCGAGAATCAAGGCACTGAAAGCAGTGAAAAACCCGTTAGTTTATGTATGTAATTATGTATAAAGTAATCTTGAAATTCCCTCGATCGACTAAAAATTTCTTCGAAAAAGAAGAAATGCATACTGAGCAAGAGTGTACACGAATTGACATGTACAAAAAAACAAGGTACAATCGTATGACAATTGATGACAATGCGTAATGTTAACTACCTAAAATATAAATGTATTTATGAGAATGAAGCAACTGAAACATGAATTTGTCAATTTTTACGCAATCAAATGCATAAATGCGTGTCTCGTTTTCACGTGTATTTTTTCCTTCCCTAACGTATTATTAGATTAATTGCTTTAATTACGAGCAACATCTTGTGTACTGGAAAATGCTCGTAACAGTGTATGGAATGATTGGAATGAGAATCTAAGAGAATAAAAAGAGAATCTGATCGATTGCCACGAATTTAACAATTTTAACTGACGACATTTGTCAACAGTTGCATACGCATCAGTTCCAATGAGTGAAGATGATGATGAAATAAATAAATAGTGAGTAACTGGACTTTTCCCTCTATTCGTCCGGGAGAGGAGGACGATAAACAGCAATAAGGCACAACACGGAGATGACGAGTTCAGAGGTAAGAAGTACCAATTGTATGCTACAGAGGATGACTTCCAGTCTGAGAACGTAATTCTGCCAGAAGAGGAAGTAAAGGGTTGCCAGGGCACTGGGTATTGTCAAGGCAATTCCGAGCAGTATGAGAAGTCCTCTTTCCGTGAGATTTCCTTTTCTTCCAAGGTAGACACGTCCACCCTCAGTTGCAATCAGAAATACCAGCAGTGAAAATTCAGTTATCGTTGTTCCAGAACTTGGTGATGGCAAGTTAGTGGCTTTGAACAGTCCCATTCCCAATTCACAAACAGCGAACATACCGAAATAGAAGGAGTTGAGGTACATCAGGATCTCGTACGTCAAAGATGAATTTGCTACTGTAGGCATATTTTCACTTTTTTTTTTGGAGACACTACGGGATTTTGTCAGGTCTGCAGGTGTTCATGCACTCCACTCAGTTCTCTCATTTTTTATCCTCTTAATTTTCACTTCAATAACATTTGGAGTTGATGATTTTTAAGGGATCAATGGATCGGCGATTGCCACTGGTGATACACCCTCTGCGTCGCTCCACTACAATTTTTTCTATTTTTTCTATTTTTTAATGAAACGTTTGTTTATTTTTAGCCTATAGACACGTCTAGGTGCTAGGATACCAAACGACGCCGTGTGGACAGTGTAAATAAATGGGCTGTTCAATTAGTGGGCGGTTGTGATAAAAAAATGGGGGAAAATGGTGCGCATAGGTGCACTGCGCAGGTGTGCGGCTGATTCATATGATTTTGAATGAATGATAGCAGGGGCTGATGTCGCGGGTATTTAATACATTATTTTTTTTACACCAACGCCTATTGTTGATAATGAAAAGAAATCCATAGAGAAAGTCATTTAATTTAACACATTCGATCATAAGACTAGATAATTTATTCATCATAAGTTACAAGGCACAGGGCATTATCATTTATTAAATTTTATCAAACATTGAAAATCCTAGCTAAACACACAATAATAATCAGTGACTGACTAACGTGCAGAATTATGTGAGGATGAAGGCACTAAAAGCGGAGAAAAAAAAATTGTCGACTTTTGGTATATAATAGTGGATAAAGTAATCTCGATATTTGCTCGATCGACTAGAAATATCTTCGATAATGAAGAAATGGATACTGAGCAAGAGTGTACATGCATTGACATGTACAAACAACAAGGTACAATGGTATAACAATTGATGACAATGAGTGATGTTAACTAGCTAAAATATAAATATATTCATGAGCATGAGGCAACTGAAACACTACGACGTCCGTTTTTACGCTATCAAATGTATAAATGCATGTCTCGTTGCATATTTTTTCTTCCTCTCTAATATATCATTAATTGATTGTTCTAATTATGAGCAAATTCCCATTGTGTATTGGAATATGCTCGGAGCAGTGTTTGGAATGATTAAAATGATGAGATGAGAGAATAAACTGATAATTTGATGGATTTACTATGAATTTTCTAATGTTTACTGACGATATTCGTCATCAGTTGTTCACGCATGCTTTAGTCTCAATTAAACCAACAATTATGAGTAAATAAATAAATAGCGAGTTATTTCCTCGATTGTTGAGGGGAAGGAGGACGATAAACTGTAATAAGGCACATCACAGAGATGACGAGTTCAGACGTAAGCAGTACCAATTTTTTACTACAGAGGATCACTCATAGTTTAAGGATGTAATCCTGCTGGAGTAGGGGAAGTAAAGGATTGCCGGGGCACTGAGTATTGTTAAGGCAATACCGAGTCATATCAGGAGGTGAGATTTCCTTCCAAAGTCGACACGTCCATCCACAATTCCACTGACAAACACGAGCAGTGAAATTATCATTAAATTTCCATTATCGTTGTTCCAGAGCTCGCAACATGATGGCAACAGTCTCAATCGATCTGATTGATTTACCATTCGTACTTCAATATTCACTCACAATACTCGTCGTCAGCTGCTCACACATGTGTAATCCCAATGGGACCAGTGATTCCTGATGAAGAATTATGAATGGTGAATGATGAATCAATAAATAAACATAGAGTGACTGGAGTTTTTTTTTTCTATTCCTCAGGAAGAGGTGGACGATTAACAGCAATGAGGCACATCACAGAGATGACTAGTTCAGATGTAAGCAGCACCAATTCAATGCTGCAGAGGATGACTTCCAGTCTGAAGACACAGCTCTGCCAGAAGAGGAAATAAAGATTTGCAAGAACACATGGTATTGTCAAGGCAATACCTAGTAGTATGAGAAGTCCTTTACCCGTGAGATTTCCTTTTCTTCCTAGGTAGACACGTCCACCCTCAGTTGCAACGAGAAATATCAGGAGTGAAAATTCGGTTATGGTTGTGCCGGAGTTTGGTGATGGTATTTCGATGGCTTTTATTATACCCATTGTCAATTCACTTAAAGCGAATATACCAAAATAGAAGGAGTTGAGGTACATGAGGATTTCGTACGTTAAAGATGAATTTGCTACTGTTGGCATATTTTCACTTTTTTTTTTGGAGACACTACGGGATCTTGTCAGGTCTGCAGGTGTTCATGCACTCCACTGGGTTCTCTCATTTTTTTTTTCCTCTTGTTTTTCACTTTGATGACATTTTTAGCCTCCGAATTGTTGATTTTTGAGGGCCAAATCGATCGGCGATTGCCACTGGTGATGAACCGTCTGCGTCGCTCGACAATTATTTTTGTATTCTCTAATAAAATCTTTGTTTATTTTTAACCTACACGCACATCTAGGTGCTAGGGTACCAAAACGACGCTGTGAGGACAGCGTAAATAGATGGGCTGCTGCTGTTGAATTAGTGGGCGGTTTTTAAAGACGGGGGAAATACTGCGCGCTAATGCACTGCGCATAAATGCACATTGTGATATTTGAATGGTTTTACGGCGGGAAGATGAAACCAGTGGTCTACCATATTTTTGATTAACGGATTATAAGCAAATGCATTTTATGGAATTCTATGTAATTTCCCAAGAATAATTTTTAAACTGGAGAGCGTCGATATTCGATGAATGTAATTTTTTTATTTGGAAGGAAAATTTTTAAAATGAAATTGAACCACCAGATGTCGGTCTGACACGCGTCAAATT